AGCCAATGTAATATCACCTTTTTTTAAGAAATCACTGAATTTATCTCTATCACCTTACTGACTTTAATTTCCGCCCATTAACGACCAAATCGGAATGTCCAAATGTTTTCTTTATCAAAACCATCTTTTTCCGTTCACTTTCTAAAGAATTTTACGCGTACACGAATAAATTAGTGAAAAGAAGTTAAGAAACTTTCATATTAACAGCAGCGAAAAATTTATTCAGTTCGTTATTACTTGAGGCTCAGGGAGAAAAATTGGTGTTTAAAATATTCTTAAAAATTTTAAAAACCCTGGTTGAAAAGGAAATTTACAAATTGGCCCACTAAAATTAGAATGCATCAGAAATCATTTGGTGGTTTAGTTGAAGCTCTCTGTAGATTCACTAGGGTATTTGATAACAAGAATTGAATTTACAAAATCTGTTGAATCAAAATCCAGAATGTGAGGAAATCACTACACACTTAGGAAGCTTTTTTCTTATTAAACAAATTCTACTTGCCAATACCAAAGAAAAACTAATATAAAAGAAGTAGAGAGAGAATATGACATTGACGCTGGGTTTTAAAAAGTGGAAAGGGGTATAGTCACGAGCGATTGTTATAACCAGAGAACCAAATTTATGCCTTGGTAGCAATATATATATAAATCTGTACAACTTTTCAGCGAAAAACAAACACACTTACCAGCTATGATTAAGGGAACAGAAATTCGAATTTATCAAAATAATAAAAACTGAAACTTCTGTGATGGTGTCTCGGTACAAATGACAACGTTTGTATTAAAGAGAGTTTTTTTGAAAAGAAACTGTAAGAGAAATGACTGAGTATGGTAACTGGCTCTCAGGAATTCATTGCAAATAATTTTTGAAGGTTCGTAGCACGAATAAAGGAAAAATAATAAGATCTTAACTCGTCTTTTCACGAGCGTTCTGACTACCTATGAATAACGCTCTACCACTGGGCCACGTTGAAAAACGTTCTTCCTAAATTTACATTTACAAGAAAAATGCAACTTTAAATCATCGGATCGAAAAAGCCTAAGACTCTGGCCTGTGATGGGTTAAGATAGAAAAAAATATATTCAAATATTAGTAGATTCATTTATGTCGGCTTTAAAAAAACGTTGCAATTTTGATATATATTAAACATAAACACCTCTCCTTTACTCATCACAAAGGTGATGCACGATGCACGTATATTTCACATCGAAAGAACAATACGTTTTTTGTTATTGTGCGAAGATGAAACAAATACTTTGGAAATTTTGACACCAGTTATTGTTCTTTTCTTTTTTCCCTATAATTCATTCTGTCAACACCTTTTCAAAAGGAAAACAAACGTACATAAATTTAATTCATGTTTTTAATTTCAACGTTCTCGAAAATGGGTGTATATATATATATATGTGTTGACCAGTTTTCAAAAACGAAGCAAATATGAAAATATATATATCAAATAAATATAGCCTTTCTTTTCTCGACGATGAAAGGAAAGCTAAATATATATATTTAATGTAAATTTTTAAGTAACAACGTTTTTGAAAATGGGTGTTTATATATATATATATGTATGTATATATGTATATTTAATTTTACCAGCTTCGAATTCTCTGCTTCTAGAATTTAATCCAAATTTTAAACTTATGCAAAAAATGCAACTTTAAATCTTCGGACTAAAACGGCCTAACGTTTTCTAATATACAAATACTAGAAAACTCATATACATGCGAAATTTTAGCAGCTTCTCTGCTCAATCTTTTTTTCTATTTGCGTGTCGTTCATTCTCTATTTTATACTGTAAACTTAATTCAATTCAATTAATCGTATTCTAAAAAATATCTTATTGATGTTGGTAACGTAGTAAAAGGGGTCCATGGTAAGTAAAGTTTTATAACTAGGTTGTAAACTATCTTTTATTGACGAAATTTAAACTTGTGATGACAAAATGTTTTCAAAAAGAATATGATAGATTACAAAAGAAAACAGAAACAGCCGATGCATTTTTTATTGAATTTTAAAGAAATAGAACTAGCTAGTGAATGCGTGTTTACTTTACATTGCAGAGTGATGCCAAAAAAATATCTGATAACAGAAGTTTCAAAACACGTGGTGAATCAGACAAGGGTCAACCTGCAAGGAAGTCGATCGGAAACAAGATTTTTCTCAAGAGAACGCGGGGAAAAAATGGATACAAGGAAGATTTTAAACACTTGTTCGCTTAGTTGTTAATAAGTGTCATAACTTGGACGTCGTAAGATACGTTGATGCGGCTGATGAAAAATCAAAACCAGGATACCAACGCGACAATCATCTTCAAATTCATGAAAGCACCGTAAATTAAATGTTTTGCTTTGTTGACACAACTTAACTCGTGAACTCCTTAAACTCAGGTATTAAATGGCTCTTATGCAATGACAAATAGAAATAAGGGAAAGGAATTATTTTAACAGTATTAAAGGGCCTGCAATATAACTAAGGGTTGAAATGAATAAACTAGACAAAAGTTTGTCGTCATTTTCAATTCAACTTCAATCGGCCATTATTCAAGACTATTTGATATTTTTAAGACCTTCAAAAAAAACCTCATTGCCCCCCTCCCCCTACCAAAGAATTTTTTTATTTCAATTTGCATTTCTTCGCTGGTTTAACTTACTTGGTGACAATCTCAAAAACGCATAGGCAAACTTTGTTCGTGCTTACATTTTCTAAGGTACCATTAGTATGAAGAATTTAGTTCAACTCCAGCCCACTTAAAAACAACCATACGTTGTTTTGTATCCAACTAGTTACGTCAACTGCGTTCTGAAATTTCGACATATGTCCACAAAACCACAGTAAGTCCTCGTAGAAACATAAAATGTTAGCACTGATTTCCGCGAAGAAACATTCATGGTCGTTAGTTTAGGTATCTCCCTTGAGAATAGTTGAATCTAAATCTGGGGCTCTGCATATTTAAAACATGAAGAGGTTTAAAGAGCTCATTACCTCTCAGCCTGATAGATATGGGTCGCATCGACCGAGCAATTTAAGTAGCACCATCTATATTAGCGTTTCTCAGCGGGTAAAGGATAACAAGTATATAGAACTTAAGGGAGGATACGTGAGGAAAGTGAGAATTTGGACGGGGACAGGTTATTTCCCCTTTAAAATCTGTTTGCAAGTAAGGATGGAAGAGGGGTGTGGGTCATGAATATATTTAGAGACAGAGACCCTTGGGAACGAGTTGTCAAGAAATGTCAGCTTGCACTTGTCAGATAGAAAACTGAATTGTACTTCGTCCCATTCAGTTAATTTTGATAATATTTACGGCTTATTCCAGACAACTTTTGGAAAACATGGTAGCCTACAGAACAAGCGTCCTTTTTTTCTTCCTTTTTTCTTTTTTCGCGTTTTCAACTAGGCCAGATAAGTGCGAGGCACGCACGAGAGGAGCACGAATTGAGATTCCTCCTCTCGCACCCGCCTACATGGTATCCAGCTGCTTCAACAGTCCTCACCGGGTCATAAACGTGGAGAAGTCGGTCCAGATTATAATTTAAGCTGCAGGAATATTAGATTCGGCCTTAAGAATTAACAGTAATCACGTTCATTCTCACTTTTAACATCACGGCTTTGTTAGATATTCAACAAAGACTCAAAGGAGACTATTGTTACCGTTACTTGGAAAAAAATAATAACTTTTCAATCGGAGCTAAAGGCAATGGAAACAATATTGAAACAAATGGGTTATACCGAGTAAAGTTTGAGATGTTATTTCAGTACAAAATCTATGGTCCTCAAACATATTAATAAACAAGTAAATTACGAGAACACAACACTACTCTTGCTTCATACACGATGCGTAACAGTCGAAAACAGGCATGCTATTCACGATAAGCTTTAGTATAAAATACTTAAGGCAAGCAAGCTCATTTACCCATTTTTAATAGCTCCTTGACGGTGTTTGCTTTTATCAGATGAAACGCGTAGGAGGTAAAAACAAATATTTGCTTTCTTAATTAGTTCGTACAGTGCTGCATATTATAGCTAGTTTATCTTTAAAAGTATGGAAAAGAGTGTTCAGTTTCGATGAAAATAACTGACTTATAGCGGATGAAAAATCATTTCAACCTTCCTTCTCCTACTTTAATCACAAAAGCATCTTGATTAAGTTGAAAACTCTTTCTTATCGACCTTGTTACTTAATGGATGTCGCCATCAAAGGCTTCTCAGTTAAGCTTAATTGCTTTCGAGAGCTTTTCTCAAACAATTTGTGTTTTTTTTTTTAAACTCTACTGCGAGCGAGTCCATCTATTTTTATAGTGTTTTGACTCAGGAATTGATTTCAATTGAGGCATTCTTGTTTACGACAGGAGTTCTGGAATTAAAGAAAACTATTACCCATTTTGAACCGCAAAAAATTGGGAAAACAAACAACAACGATTGTGGTGGTGTGAGTCTCTAACAAAAATAGTGCTGGCCGTAGGAGAGTGTATTAAAATATGAAAATACATCTAACACGTTTTTGAACATGGACGGTTCAGAAAATGAAATATTGTAGGAAATAAACGCTTAGGAAAAATTATTTGCTTTTTTACGTGATCATTCTGGAAATATTGACAATATTTGAAAAGGTTTTAATCATTACGCTGAGTAGGTGGCCAAACACTTTGTCCCGTTATGTGATTGTGGTCTCTCTCAGCCATACAATTGAACTGAGTGCAACAAATCACCCTGAATAAGATACAGAATACAAAACTCGTACCGATATCCAAGATGATTATTCCTGAAAGCCTGCAAATTATTAAACATAATTATGAACCTTCACTAAAAAGACCGACGGCGTTTAAAAGCTTCTATTTTTAAGAGAGAGAACGATTACGGATCGTATCTTGCCCTCACAACGCCATGCTGGGTCATAAAACTGAGAAAATATTTAGCCGCGTTTGGCAATTATTATTAATAATTAATTTATGATGACTTCTATGGGGTTATAAAGAGAGAGCAAAAGATGCGACTCTTTCATATTTCAAGCTGTTCGTGGTAGAATGTCCAAGATGAACTCCTTGGTCTCTTTGGTGGTTCTCTCTCTCGCTCTGTGTGTCGTTGCTGGCTCGAAACTAAAATGTAGTCCTTACGGCCTCGCACTTGGTTGTCATCCGGTAGGTCTAGCCCGTTACACGTTAATATGGATTCCATACAGAGCTAAGTACAATCGCTTATCTATACATAAATCATTTTTGACACAAACACTAAAACTGCAACGGTCTTCTATGCCAGCAGCCTCTATTAAGTCATGTAAATTTATCATCCACACGTTGAAAAATGTAACTCTAATCAAATTTTTTTGTAAATCATATGAAGAAAAGGGCAGAAGAAATCGGAATAAATCTGTTTCAATGTATTTAATGGGAAGATCATTTCATCAGTTTTTAGTGAAAATTTTTGTTTGAACCTTTTTTTTTCAAAATCACCGGTGACGAATTGATTTTTTGCTAATCTTACGTAAATATCGATACAGCAAAAGACACCCAAGGGGCGAGTATAAGTCAGGGTACTTTCCTACTCGAAAAAACAGCATGAGTTTAATAAAAATAACGCGAATGTTCTGAATACATCGTTCTAATCACTACTAAATAAGAAATACTCTTAAATGCTCTTATCTTTACCGAGGTACTGCATCCCGAGGATCTGCATCCTCACTAAGCTTCTACGTATAGAAATCTACACCTGCATTGCGGTCTTTGCGAGATCATGAATTACGTAAAGGAAACATATCATGAAATATTCATGGTCGTCATCTTAAGATGAAGTTAATTTGTATACTAAATTTTACCTTTATTATTCTTGTTAAATACGGTAATCTAAATGTCTAGTTTTGTCTAAAGCTCAGAAGCACATGTGATTTCAAGATTCATAATCAGTTTTAGCGATCTCCAGGAAACCTCAATTCTGTGGAGATGTTCGAGACCAGAAATAAATTCAACGATTCATCATGAGAACTGTATGGTGTTACTCTTGCCTTGCATGGGATGAGAATATGTTGTCATAACAACGGCCTAACTTACACCTTTCAGTATTGTCTAATTGTATGATCGCTTTTAATTTCTTCTCCAGAACTAATCTTTCATCTGTTTATTATCATTAAGCAGAACGGTGGCCGCTCATTAGATCGTAATGAGTTCCGAGGACATCTGGATGTATTACCAGGTTCACCTCATGTGGGAGACTCAGAGGAAAGCACCGCCAAACGAACAGGAATGGACGCTGAAAAATCAAAAAACCGATTGGAGGAGATGAAAGCTTACTTGGACAGCTTATATCAGTAAACCGGAGAGCATAACAGGACATTTTAATAGTAGACATGGTAGAAGAATTTAATCTCAATACGAGTTGTAAATCGGCGGCAAATATAGATGATAGTTGATATGATGAAATATACTGGTATGAATAAAATCTGATGCAGTAATAAAAGGTGTGTCATTATGTACAATTTCCAAAGCTTGAAGAAGGACTATTTATAGCTGTTCATTCTTCGCAGCTGGATGGTGAAAATAATTCTTTAGACACGAGCCTGATTTTCGTCCTTGTTTATCCAGACTATGATAAAGTGTTCTTCAATTAGGACAAGTGATAGTAAAGTTTGGTCGTTAGTCTCAACAAGAAAGAATTTAAATCAAACATATTTAGCTTGATCCTCGAAATTTTGAGAAATAAGGAGAAAATTTTTCGACAATTCACTTCAGTGTTTATATTTCATTTTGTTAATTACTCTGAGAAAACATCACTAATCGCAATTTCATTATGGAATTTTTTCCTCTCTCTATAAAGTAAAAAGTCCATTCCTTTAAACTCTTATAACGTTCCACATATTTTCATAGATGAGTTTGTTGAGGCTTTACAAGAGCGTTGTGAACATTTGTTAAAGAATTTGGTGTCTGGCCTGTTCATTCTTACCGATACTGAAATGGATTTTTTTGGGGGGGTAAAATCCGTGTTTTTTGAGTCAATAATTCAGTATTGCCAAACCTCCATTTTATTTGTTGATTATGAAAACTTTCACTTTCGAGAAAATTTGGAAAACATCGCTTTTGTTCCGGAATCCAACTTTCCGCATTATGCCGTATATTCAGTGTAACAAAATTCACAGAAATCCAATCAACAAAACAATTCATCGAAAAAGCTGGTATTTTTTCAAAAATTAACGATGTGGTTTAGGCAATAGCTTTTCAATCCATCACTGATATAAGCCTTATCTTATTGGAAATCAAACAGATCTCAATGGAAGATCTCTCTCGAAAACACGAACAAGGATTTCTTCAATTATCTTGAATAGGTTACTTCAAAAAAACGAAGATAGAAATGCAGTTATCACCATCGAACTGATAGACTACATTTACAAAGAGAAAGTAATTCTTTTAGTCGCAAGATATCAACCGATATTGAAATCAGCAGAACTACATAAATCCATGAGATATTTAAGCAACAGACAGCACTCTCTATCAATCAGTTTATAGGCATAATAACTTCGCTGGCTGTTGGGAGAACATTCGAGAAGTTTATAAATCACAAGCCGGAGGTGAGTGATGCTCAAAGCTGTCTAGTGTTTTCCCAACATTACACCAGAATAATGAGAGGTAGCGTGGTCTGTTGCTTCTATAAAACAGACTTCATTTTTTGCGGGTTAACCGGTACAAAAAAAAGATAGGATTTGAAACAAACAGAGCGGTCGTGGTATCTCGAACCCAGTTATTTTGAATCGTGACCGTGCTTTTAAAATATCTCCACAGTATGAATACCCTTTCAAAAAATGCTTTCACAGCACAAAACCCTTTTTGTAAACCGTCCAGAATTTACGCTTAGGCAAAGTGATAATTGTGATTTTTCATGCAGACCAAATAAATGCATAGTAGGCCACTGATGCGTTAAATAAACTCGTAGATGTTTCAAAGTATCATCTTATGAAATATTAAACTTCCATCTCGTTTATCGTGGCTTGTTTTCAGAAAAAGCGTCGGGATAAACGTTAAGATTATATTTAGAAATTTTAGACAGTAGATCTCATTACACGCTATACAAGTGACAATTTGGCTCGAAACTGTTTGCTGACGCGATTAAAAGAGAACTTTGACAAACATTTAAATATATTAAAACCAATTTTTATAGTAATGGTGTTAGGATGCGCGTGCTTCAAGCGCGCTGTGAGTCCCGCTGAAACTAACTTGCAGCTGATAGCCTTAGCAACCTGGCCGTTATGTCAGAGTTCCTGCCTCCCCTAGCAATGTGATCGGTAGAATTTTCTGTTATACAGGTCATCTATTGTCAATTAAGCCCTTGTTAAAAAAACAAAAACTAGATTACCATCTTTTTAGTATGTTTAAGCGAAAAAAGGATCGAAATTTGGAAAAATTTCACAACGAGAAAGTTTTGTTCATCGTGTCTATAAATGTGCCAATTTTTCTTCTAAGAGCTCATATCACCTGACAAAAATTGCGAACCTCTTTCCTTTTTTATCCATTTTTATGTTTTATAAATACTCTCGTTTTCAAAAACGTTGCAATTTGAAAAAAATATATGAAATTAATACACCTTTCGTTTTTTAATCAAATTTTTTAATGCACCTTTCGTTTTTTAATTAAAAGGTGTTTCTTTCTGATGAGAAAAACAAAACACAGATATATGGTATATTTTCCAATTGCAAAATTTTAGAAAACGGGTGTGTATATATATATATATATATATATATATCTATGTATATATATTTAGATTCCTTTCGAAGTTTTATTCAGACAATAAATGCTTACTTTTATTTCTTTGCTACCTCATCCTACTTCAAGTTTTACGTAAATACTACTGACACACAAGTGGCGGCTAACGAAGACTATTTATAAACCCACGCTCGTTTAAAGCATATACCAGGTTTAGCACCTTTTAACAATTTAGCACCACACAATTAAAGCAAATTGACACAACATCAGCACAATAAAGTACCTCCACAAGGTCTTACAGCGAGCAGAAACCAGATCAAAGTTTTTCTTCTCGTACGAATAAGGGTCATTTTGGCGTTTCGTTCTAAGAGAAGAAACAAATCGAAAGCAAGACATAATCTCTGTCCATGCATCCTACCCAATATTGATAGGAGCGTAACAAAAGATCCAGAGGGGAGTAGTTTCCTGATCCCGTTTCACGCACGAATTAAAGAAAAAATCACGCGTCATATATATTAAAGGCAAAAATTCGAATCTCTCCTCTTGTATGCAAGATTTCAGGTATATCTTGAGGTTTTCACTAAACGAAAAAAAAAAATCACGGGTCACGTACATTTCAGGAGGCAAATCACGCTTCACGCTGGTTCATAAATATACGGATCACGCACGTTTTTCAGTAAAGTACACGCGTCACATATTAATTTTGGCTTTTGATAGTTTGAAGCTTTTTTTAACTTTTTCGAAAATTATAAAAGGGAAAAGAAGTCAAAGCACCCATGCTGCGATTTTCATGTTCAAAACGATATGGACGATAATCAAGATTTTAATTATGAAAGGCCCCGATGAAAAATAATTTTGAGCCGTTTTGACAATTATAGAGGTATAGATGTGTGACTGAGGAATCTTAAATTCTCCACTCTCTCGATCGCGTTTAAAATTCAACAATTTTCGTATTCAAAGTTAATAGGAACTATTTAGGACAGCAGCGCCACGGAAAGTGTGGCTTTAAATGAATATTAATTTTTAGCTAGAATTTTTCGAAGGGCTGGATTACCGTCTGTTACGACGCCACGACCCGACTTCAGCGTAACGTATGTAAGCGGCGTTGAGTTCCAAATGGAAACTCAAATAGACACAAAAATTTTGATGTTTTCACGTTGTTGATTTGCAGAGGACGGCTCTGAAATGTGAAAAGTTTCAAAACGCACGTGCTGAGCTACTGCTCTGCCCATTAGATGTTTTGTTTTTCTTTGTTTCATTGCCTCGTTGCCGTCGCCGTCGTGGCTGGCTTGGCTTAAGATCCGACAATTGTGTCATCATGCCTTTAAGTCGGGGATTTTCTTTCGATGAAAGATCATTGACAATCTAAGTTATCGCAAAGTTTAAAACTGATGACTGTGATGTCTTAATTCGTTTACTAATCAGTTGGCGTAGCTGTAAATCAGATTCTAATCATAAAATGACAACACTTATTAATCAAAGCTTAAAAGGACAATTTTCCTACTCCTGATAACGGTGTGTTCATTAAATGTTTAAGAAGAGTTTTCATAACAAATAGGTCCATGCTCTGTATGGTTGGAATATTCGAGAATTTGATCATTTTTAATCAGTATCTCAGAATTAGTGCGCCCACTCGCCGGCACCTTCCATCATGATAACTTTTTGATTGACAGTTTCTCGTTGTTAGAAAGTGTTCTTAGCAGGGAGTATTTCATAGTATTTAACAATAAATTAAGCGTCGCCCGTTTGATTAATAACGATGTCTGTATTGAGTGGGAGGTATAAAAGTAGATGTTAAATCTCAGCATTCAAAGGATAGGAGGCTTTTTGCGGAGATGTTGAAAATGAACCTTGCTCGATCTGCTGCTCTTGTAGCCATGCTGCTATCTGTGGTCGAAGGACAGATTTGTAAATGGGGGGCACCATTCGGCTGTCCTAATAGAGATAAGGTTTGTGCATAAAATATAACATGCATATAAGTTTTTGCTTAACAGTTCTCACATTCAAGACGACCGGGTTGCTCCAAGGCAATCAAACGAATTCGAAGAGAAAGATACTTAGCTGAAGCCTTCACCAAAAATGGCATCTCTGTAAAACAAAAATCGGGAATATATGCTTTACTAGAATAGCACAATAACTATAGATAAAAATTCGCAAAATATCTTCGCGAAAAAATTGTTACTTGTACCTTTACATACAGTGTTTAAAATACCTTCCATTCCGGTAATAATATAACAATGCCATTGATGTTTTATTAACACGACTGAAACACTGCTTGGAAACTTGTAAAAATTTGCACCGTTTGTTTCATCACGTTTGGCTAATGAAAAATAAAATGACATGTGCAGCGCTACGGACGGCTCTAGAGCGAGCATGCATAATCATTTTCCCATTCTATAAATGACAAATTGGAACGCTCGAGCAATTAAGGATTTGTTCCACGTATGATGTTCGAAATTATCCAAATTGCGCGATTCTAAGGTAACTGTCAGATATCACGCCTTTTCCTTCTGGAGCGATTTTTAATTGCACCAAGCTGTATTTACTACGACTACCAATATAAATACAAATTTTGATTCGAAATGCGTCTATTAATTTTAGACAGTGGGAATGTCATTAATTAGGGGCTTTTAGATGACTGAAAAAGGGTCATTATAAACCGTGCCAACGTTTACGTTATCTAGCCTTGAGCAGAAGAGAAGTATATACACCTTATTTGATGGTTTAAACAATATACTCGCGGATATTTTGTGCGTTGCATAATATCATTGACATAACGGTTTTAGTTTTCATGAAGGACTTTGTTGCTTTACTAACTTTAGTAAGGTTGAATTAAACTTTGTTTTTGAGAGGAAAAACATTTTCCGAGAGAACCTACAGTTTGCAAAACTATCTTATATTCTATATCTATGTGCTAATTCGTCTACATATTTTTTTTCTTTGTCTTTCTTAGCCCAGCCATTACTCCCATAACGAAATGGATTCGAATCCAAAGCTCGCTGACACATTTCACAGTCTACGTGTCCCAGAAAGTTCTGACGTGGACATCACTGAGTATACGCAGCGCAATCCAATGGATGTCGAATTCAGAAGTGCAAAGAGCACACAAGGCGCTTACAAATTCGAAGACATCAAGACTTATCTTAACAACTTGTACCAAACTGAGAAAATGGAGGCAAAGCATAAATAATTTCTCGAGAAATTTTGAATCAAGTTAGATTGTTCTAAGCTTTAAGCAAGTCAAAACACGTGAAAGACATAACAAAACATGTAGTTTGCTAGTAAAGTTTAAGGAAGACTAAGATAAAAATTAGTATATTTGAATTATCAATTATCTTATTACTGGATAGTTTTCAAGTTTTATATGCTGAACGAAGTACAGAAAGTGCTTATTGACTGCAACTATAAAAACCCATTTAACATTTGTACGTTGGAAAAATAAACTACAAAGTTTATTAGTCTTATGGTATTAATTGATAATAAAAGGGGCAATTCCTGTAAGAATAAGCATCTACATGAAACAGCTAATAGGTATAGATTCCTTTAAACTTTCATTCTTTTTCCTTTTGTAAGGTTTGCTAGATATCGGTTATTTCACATATTTTCCTTTCATGTTTTGTGCTGGAAATGGGCGCGCGGCTGGCAAAATTTACTCATTTGCGCATGCCTAAGTTTGACCTTGTTTGAAAACTAACGTCGTACTCGTGTTAATGATTAAAAAAAAATGACGCATTCATTTCTGTTGTACAGATTTCGTATGCTATCAATTTTCAAATAATTGTTTCAGTTCATTGTTATCAGAGTTTCAAAACATTTTTTAAAACCGACGGATTAGCTTAATTTAATTGTCATAGTGAGCCCAGTTCCGTGGTCACGAAGGTCAGCGGTTAACACAATCGTGGTTTAAAAAAATCATGAAAAGATGACGAAGCCCTGAAAACTGCGAGAAGACAAGATTAAAACAGGTAAAGATGTTTGTCGTCTTATTACGGGCGTGGGACAAAAAATTTCAAAGTCCCATTGAGGAATCGAACTTCAGACCCTCGGACTCCACGTTCCGATGCTCCGATGAGAAGATGAAAAAACAGTTGCACTAAAAAGTGGAAGTTTCCCCCTTAATGCTTTACTTGAGTAGACTGGAAATTGAAAAGTTACCAAAATCCTTCGTTAAAAATCAAAATTTTCCAAAACCACAACCTTGTGGATAACCCTTATCCATAGGAGAACGTTATTAATTCACCACATGCCCCAGTTTATGAAGAGAAGCAGAGCGACGGGAAACACGATAAAACGGACACGAGTGATGAATAGAATACAGATATAATGGAGATTTCATTAAAGTTACAGAAATTTTTGACCATTAAAGAAAGGGGAAAGCTGAGAAGTATTCTCTCTTTACTCAGACTAAAAATTGACTGTTTTATATCCAATATGGAGGAAGACTCAAACCTGAATAAATGGAATCTTTAACGGAGAACTTTTTAACCTTTTACACCTCACATCAGATCAGTATCCATATTCTCCATATTATTCTCTATAAATGTCCTTAGGTGCTGACAAGGAGAATTTGTTTAACGATCATGAGCTTTTTTAGTTAGTGATCGTTTCCTTTATTCTCGAGACCTTAATGTATAATTTAGGGGTGACATTTTAAGGAGAAATTAGATGCTCGTTACTCTTGGGGGTGAAAACGTTAAAAAAATCTGAATCTGAATTTACCACGACAATAATGATTCCTTTGCGAGCTTAGTTTCTCAAATTGCATTTATTTGAAATAAATATCGATTATGTCACTCTGACTATAGATTCTGTTTTCTTTTATTTTCCTATTCTTGGTCATTCCCATGAGCCCTCAGGATGCCTGTATTGTCCAGTCCTCTCTTCTGCTTCCTCGCTATCAGTCTCTCTACAGCCATCGTACGGAAGTTTCTCAGAGAATTTAGACGGTTGGCAAGGCGACTGTTTAGTCTACCTGTTTCATCGTCAGTCACCTGCAGAGAAAAAAAGAAGTAAAAATTGTAGTCAGAAATTTTAATTATGCTCCACTTCAAATAAGCATCATTAGCTTCAGAAATTCACAAGACGCGGAGTCTTTAATGTGAAAATCCGAAAGCGAGACCGAAAAATTTTAAAAATAAACCTTTCTACTGCTACCATCATGTCGCTCATATTCCATCAAGATTTTTCGTTGATGACAGGAGTATGTTGCGCTTAGAGTCACTATACCCACATTTTTTTTAGCGTTTATTTGCGATGTTCCAGCTTTTATAACCCATGCCAATATTTTCAAACGGCAGCGATATAAGATATCCGTCTCCCACAACGATAATTCGGAGTCTAAATCCTTTGCCGTTTGAACGAGTTCTGGAGTTATTGGAGAGCTCTGAAAGAAATTCGAGACTCCTAGACTAACAGCAAAGGCTGGCGAGATTCGAGATAGGATAAAAATATTGTGAGAGCCACGATTTTATAGAGCACCATTCTTAACAATTGGTTCAAAATAGAGTGTTAGTCAATAGATTCATAAGCTATAACTCTGATGTTCACCGGTTTAAGATAAAAGCTATATATTTGACATTTCAAAACATATTGTTCCAGAGAGAGCAACAACCTTCGTATTGGAAGGAGTAGCGTTTTAGTCCTCAAACCGTGTTTCCTTGTTCCCTAGCATTTTCTTATATCGAATTTGATTATTTTGTCCTCTAGACTAAAAATTTGTACAAACCTGTCTTTTTCCGCAGTTGTACTGATAGGGACAGCTCCATGATTGCACCAACATAAAATTTTGAAAGGCAAGAACGAACAAAAAGAACAGAGTTAGGACAGCTTGATACTTCATCTTCACGATAGAATTTCGAAAGTGTTGTCAACACAGTTTCCTGATGTGAATACTGAATTCGATCGCAGTCCCGCTTAAATGAGTGCAAAATGTGATGAATTAATAACTAGCTTGTTAAGGCAACAAATTACCTGATATGAAAAGTTGGCCGGCTTTTTATTTATTTCAAGTAATGTTTGCATAATTTTGTATGGCCTTTAAGTGTTAAATAGCGTGCTTATCAATCAATTCTGTCTTTAGAAGACCGCGCCCTCGATTCATTCTCAATTTGTTTATACGTCCTTGCATCGCCGCAATAAAACTCTAATTATCTACTTTATATAACGAAAAATAAAGGCTGTTTTCATTTGGAAACCCTACAAAAATGTTCCATTAGAGAACGTCGAGCATCGTGGGGTGACCTAACATACAACGCTTTGTACGTGCTCTCTGATTATTTCAAAGGGAGATTATTTTTTTAGAAAAATTAGAGGAGATTGTTGCGTATTTATTTAACGAGTGCTATTACTTTTTAAAGTACATTTAAGTTGCGTCGGCGGGCAAGTGAAACATCCTACAGTTCATTTTGTACTTGAAGTTGATGAATGTAAATGATCCGCCCCAGCAAATTTCGGAAAGCCGGCCTTTTTAGCGCTTTTGAGTGTAATCCTTCGGCCGAAACAAAGTGTTTTGTTCCATTTGTTAGTTTTAACCTAAAATCTTTATAAAAAGGCGACAAAAGGTCCTAAAAATGAAAGAACTTATGCTTTTTTTTTTTTTTTTTTTTTTTTTTTATTAATTTTATTGGCATTCTACTGAGACAGTAATGACAGTTACAAAAAAAAAAAAAAAAAAAAAAAAAAAAAAGGAGTAAGAGGGACGTGAGTACCCATGCAAAAACTCCTACAGAATAAAAAATAAAGAACAAAGTTTTAAGTCAAGAAGAGTTCTATGGCAGGAACAGTCTATAAACACTGACCAGGTAAACGGTTGGTCAATATCTTCAATTGAAGTAAAAAAAAAAAGGGAAAGAGAGAGACTGACAGAGAGACAGAGAGAATAATAAAGAAATTCGTAAATCTACTCAAGAGAAAAAATGCAAAATGACCCTCCGGCCCCACTCAAAAAGAAAATGAATGGAAAACGCCGAATTTCACCTGCAGCTTCTCGCCGATAATACAATCCCCTTTACGAAAGAGCCCCGTAACTTGCTTCAGTCGCTGAGTTAAAACGAAATTTAATTTGTGGCAATATTTTTTAATATTGAGGCTTCTCGACATGTTGTCACAGAACTACGAGTCAATCATTTATCGAGCTATATTACCCTTGTTTCCCAAATCATTTAAGTTCCCCTGTCTTTTTTTCTTTCTTTCTTTGTTCCCAATGAAGAATAATGTCTAGGAGGTTTTCTCATCAAGTTAATATCTCTCCTGAATTGAAAACCCAACCTACTTGTTGCATAATTGAGTCCGAATTATTTTAATAGTCATTTTAAAGTGAGATAATTTGGGCAACAAATTGAAAAAAAAAATGAAAACAATTATCTGTATTTTTCATTATAAAAGATCTAATGAGAACACATCACCTATATCTGTAACTGACCAATCTTTGTATTTCAAAAGCAACAGGTGAATGCAAAAAAATTATGCTTATTTATTTGAAGGGGCCGTATTTTTTCAGTACTATAAGAATAATATTTTTATTTTACTTTGTGTAATAGTGAACAACCGCAATAATTTTTTCTCTCCAACAGATGAGCGAATTCAATTTTTTTTTAAAGTCCACTATTGAAGCCGGAATAATAGAGCGCTTTAATTTCGTTGTATGTAAGTTTTACGCACATTTCAAGGCATAGGAAACGAAAGTACGTCTATGGTCTTAAGATCAATTGCAGTGGCAAGTTTAAAAACCTTGCATTGCTACTTCGGAAACTAAATTTATGCAATAAGAGGTCGTTCAGACTTCATCCAATTGACCATGAATCCATGCATAGCGGGAAACTGTATAAAAATTATTTCGATAAGCACGCCACTGTATTTGACAGGTTTTTAACAAGCTGCACGATAAATTATGATTGCGCCACTGTATTTGACAGGTTTTTAACAAGCTGCACGATAAATTATGATTGCGAAATGAATTATAGCCGATATTTAAATTATGAGTAAATACAAATTCTTGCCCATCACCGTATCTAATTGCAACAAGGTGTATAACAGCTAATCTATCTACTTTGGCGTCAAAAGAAATTTTAATTATTTCTGACCTCAAAACTCAGTCCTCAGTGAAACCTGTTTGCCATTAGAATGTTTCCTCAGTTAAATATTTTTACTAAACCAAAAAGTTCAGCAAGTTTAATAATTCTCATGTTACCAAAGAATCCTTTTTTTTATTGCCCACCTCAGAACATTTTTGTTAATGAGAGGTTGATGTGAGAGGTTGTTTGAGTTTGTCGATATGATTTTATAAGCAACGCTCCCACCAACTACTACAAATGGTGTCAATAATTCGAATTTCAAAACCCTTTCTTTAGCAGATGTTCTACAGCTGCAAAGGGGCCTTTTTAAGCTTGATTTTCACAGTGGTAAAATCTTAAAGCAGAATTCATTAACCCTTTACAACCTAACATCAGTATGCATATTCTCCGTACTGCTCTCTAAACATTTCCTAAGGTGCTGACAAGGAGAATTTGTCTAACAATCAAGAGTTTGTCTAGTTGAGGATAATTTTCTTTATTCACATGGCCTTAATATTTGATTCAGTGGTGATATTGTTAGTAGAAATTAGGAGCTAGTCATTAGCATGTTATGTTTTTATGTCATATCAATTTGAGAAAACGTTTATTTTTTTATTTTTCCATTTGCGAAAATTGACAGGATTTCAATTTATTTCTGTAGTTAGTGTTGTGAACATTTCTCTTTTTGACATTATCGCAGTAAGTCTTTCAAAAGATCCACAAACACCAGAGAGTATGACCCATTTTATGCAAAATATATGTCAAAGTAAAGCTAACAACAGATCATGAGGTTTGGAATAGTTTTAAATTGAGTATTGAGAGTGATCCTGAATTGCTCTCCGGTTTTCAAGTGCTCTGAGATTGGTCTAGAAAATGCGCGTCAACATCTCAATCTATCGCGTGGCAGAGTAGAACCAATTTCAACTTAGTCATTCGCGTTTTCCAGTGCTTCAATGCAAGCAGGTTGCCCGTTTTTACTTTGAGTGCTCACTGATGACATTAACCTCTGTTCTACTTGGAAGTTGTAATTAGTTTGGTTTTTCTACAGTCAATTAAAAACTGCTCTTATATTGATATAAAAAGCCTAAAATATTTCACCTATATACGAATGAGCCCGATAAGCCGGCTTGTTACTTATGACTTCACCTATTTAAGAAATGCCTAAGGGCGAAGTCGGTTTTTGTGAGAAAAGTGAGTCATTTTCCATAGGAAGACTTTCTAGAAGCCGAAATCGCTTTTTTCGGTAGCATCGCCAAAAACTTCGTAAAATATGGTAATTGAAAGCTTTGATCTAGTCCAACTAGCTGACTGACTAACATCAGCTAATTCCTTCGTTACAACATATGCAGCTTGTAGTGATAAATTTTACTTGTGCAGACCAAAGTTCATGTAGAATGGCAGTGAAGTTTTATCTGTTCAAGTAGCTTCAATGAAAATAATCCTAAAGAAAAATAGACCATGAATTTCCCTTAACTGCTAAGATCTGATTGCTAACCCTCCCCTCTAGCTGCTACACATTTTTTTGTAAATAAGTTATGAGAATTTGGTGTTAGATCAAGATAACAACTTCTACCTGTTAAGTTTGAGTATTCTCATCACCTGTCTGCTGGATAATATATGGATATTATAGGGAGAAATTACATGTTAATCACTAAAAGAATTAAAGGATAGAGAAGGAAAGACAGCTGTGAATTGAATATAAAAAATCCCTGCAGTGGAAAAAATAACTGCTCGAGAACGCATGGAAAGTCTGCTTGGGTGATTAACACCCGCCAAAAACTCCTCAGCTTATTAAAAATAATTTATTCCCATTTTAATCTCATTGCCAAGAAGATATAAGAAAAAAAAAAGAAATCGTTATCGTTAAGCAAGAATGAACTGAACCCGGAGACCAATGCTTGTAAGGGTTTCCTGATCATTGAACACACACACGTCACACAAGTAAGTTTGTTCAAAGCAATAATGCTAATTTCAGATTTGATTCTATTTATTCATTGTCTCTTATCTACTGTGGTTTACTTATTATTTTTTCGGTTTAGCAAGGGTTAACATTTACTTCCGTTCTTTATCATTCCCATCAGCCACTGCGATATCTTTAGAGTCCAGTCCTCTCACGTTTTCCGTCACTTCCTCCCCCGGCCTTAATATCATGTTTCTTTCAAGATGGCTAACAACGGCTTCATTTCGCCTCAACTAGGACAAAGATCACCAAAAGTAAATTTTTTAATAGTGAAAGATAACTGAAGTTAGTTGTACAGGGTTCATCTCAATGAACGTAACCCGTTTTCTATAGCATAAAGCGTAATCTCGTACCCAGATCCTACCATGTAACTGAAATGTAAGACCTACCACCTCTTGGCCGTGGAACGTCTGGGTACGAGACTCCGTTAAGCAATTAGAATTACAGCTACACTCTGCCCTCCTTCCCTTGTCAACGAGATAACAGTCCATCGCAGAGTTACCCTCCCCTCCCCAGGATTTTGACACTCTGTCGATAACCCAGTGACGCTCCAAGAAGAACTGTCAGTGTGAAGTGTCTTTTTCAAATTGTTTTTTTTTTTTTTTTTTTCCCTTTCCAAAGCGTTCCGATCGCACATGAACAAAGAATAAAAAAAAAAAAAAAAAAAAAAAAAAAAACCTGTGGTCGTGATAGGTTGTCATGGTTCATTAACAACTTGTCTATTGATTTGTTTGACAGGTCACTATTTCAGTTAGTAGTAAAGTTTTCGGAAGAATATTAGTGTATGTCATCTGAAAAGCATCCCTGATTGTTTTTATAAAAAAGAGAATTTGTTTTTCCACGGCAGAACTCAAGAATTTTCTTTTTGGAAATACGAATTCAGAAAAAGTCTAAAAACGTATGGGTTAAAAAGTTGAAGCAAATAGTAATTAATGGCAAACCTTTTGTTTTCTTCCACATCTGGAGTCGAAGGGGCAGTTCCACCTTCTAGAATTGGAAGCCAACACAAAACCAGGAATTGCTAAGACAAAAACATAAAAAAGGGCGAAGGCAGTTCGCGAATCCATTTTCGTTCCGATTTTGTTTGTTTAAACTTCTGAGGGCTTCTCGCTCACGATTGTGAATATAGAAGCAAGAAACTCGAAACCCTTCCTTTTAAACGGTCCGACAGCCTACTTGAAAATGTCATCTTTTATTTATAGAGAAAAAAAAACGTTCTCTCAATGTGAGCGCGGCTTTTTGCGCTTAAGTACTTTGGTGTATATACATATATGTATATTGCAAAACGATTCTTGGTAAGCTTTATAAAAACCAAGAACACTTAGCCGGTATACACCAAATTGAAAAAATGTTTACGTTTGCAAGTGTCGTTCTTTTTTAACTTTGGCCGAAAATCCCATTTTTTTACTATTCCACTTAATATATTTTATTTTCTTCTGCAGGCCTTCAAGCTACTTGTATGTAAATGGAAAGATTGAATTTTCTATAGCCTTCAGGGGTCCTCTGAGGTCGTTGAAAACGAAACAGTCTTAAGATGATGTATACAATCATTATAAAACGTCCAACGGCAGTTTCATCGGGTGATGGAACACAAAAGCTTTTCAAAGCACTGCCTGACTGTTTTTGTGAGTGTACTTGGAAAAAGAGTCAATTATACTTTCTATCCTCTTTGGTGAAGATTTAATGAAAAAAGCTGCAACCGTGAACGCGCTCGTATGAAGATAATTTTCCTCGATTTTCTTAGTATTTCGAGGGGAGTGAAGATCGTTATAAGAAATACGCATTTGAGAAGTTTAATCAAGAAGGATTCATGTTCCCTCTCATGAGGAAAAACTAGCCCAAAATTAATCTCATAAAATCTTGGCTGGTTTGAGTTTCGACGGTAAATCAAACTGCAGTAGTGGGAAACAATTCGAACATTGCTTTATAAGTTACTGATCAGGCGCAGGGGACTGCGAAGAATCTCGCTAACTGGCTGGCCCGAATGACCGGACGGATTTTGTTATCTGTTCATAGGAGAATTTCACTCCGGTCACCGAGCGGAGATTTCAAACCTATGACTGTTAGCTAAACTATTTTAGCTGAATCATATGAGCAATGAGCGACCTCACATTCTTTTCCGGGGCCAAGGGGTATTCTTATAAGAAATATTCCAGCCGGTTGCCGTGATCTCGATAACCGGAAAGAACATAAGAAAACACCGCAACTTTTACAATGGAAAGGGTGGTAAGGTACGATCTTAGAGGCTGAGTCAGTTCTGTTGGGCGGGCTTGTTATGAAGTCCGCACCCTCTGAAAGTTTTTTTTAAGAGTGTTTAAAAACAAGTAACTTTGGAAGGCGTAAAATTAGCAGGTATTCGTTGGGTTAATTATACTTATGATCCAAAGATTGTGATGTAAAAATACAAAAACAGAGACCAATGGAAAATAGAACTATTGCAATCGCTGTCAACGTTTTTCACAAATTGTCTTCATATCATGATTTGGTTTTATCAATGGACTGATAATTTAAATTGGCCACCGTAAAGAGTTTCCAAAGCTGACGTTTCCAGCGCTAGCCCTTCGTCATTCGCTCTGACGAAGGGTTAACACTAGAATATTCATCCTAAGAAACTCTTTATGGTGGTCAATTTACATTATCAACCCAGTTGAACCAAATTATTTTGTAATACCCCATGCCAGCCACCGACGCAGCACGCAGTTTCTTTAGAAACTCTTCCTTTTTATTTCTTCCTTAATTCAAACTATTTGTGTGAAACCAAAATGAGTTGCCGCAATTAAAGGACCAAGCATTATACTATCATCGGGACAGATTCTACCGACATTAATTGAAAGCTTTACCGCATTACTTTCTGAGCTCTTTTCAGTGTCAAGAAACGAAAGTTTTCAAAAAACCCCTCTTCAATCTTCCGTTGATGAAGTGCTCAACATGAAATAAGAAAGCCGGTGTCCGTTACTGGTGTTAAAACAATAATGACTTCGGCACTTGCTTTTTGTGCCTCCGTATGGGAACAGCTTTAGGTACTTTATACAGACATCGTGCTATGCTAAATAACCGAGTAACCTCTTTCATAACCGTTTAAAAAGGTTTGATGCGGCTTACATCACAGAGAAATTACGGTCCATCGGTCCGTCTTGAGAAATTTTGAAAGGCGATTCTGTAACGGGTACAAATGTCTGTAGATATTGTCACGTGTTGCAATTCCTTTGGAATTAAGTTAAAAGATTTTAGGTCAGAATTCGACATTAAGCGACAAATAGAACGTTTGTATTCTTTCAGATCTTTTATTATGGTGTAAACTTGTAAAACGACTGACATATAATTTTCGGTGTAGAAACTCACTTTACGTTTGTCACGAATATATATTTTTCAATTTACCAGGGGCCCATCAGCTTACTTGCTGAGACCTGGCAGGCTTATTTTTTATGTGTTAACCTACTTCGCTTTTGAATGCAAATTACTTAGCACAATCCGTGTAAACGGAAATTTCATCAGCTCTCTAAACGTTTTCGTGTGCTTATGGTCACATGGGAAAGAAGGAAGTTTATCAAAACATGACGTAGTGTAACAAGCGCTCTAATTGTTTGGAAAACACCCCTATCGTTTCCTGTACCAGTAGATCCAAAATGATATCTGTCTTCCTTCTTTTCCTTCTTTTTCCTTTCCTGATCAAACTTTCCATCAAATAAGTGGTTGCCATGGTAACCCTATTCAGTCGCCTTGGGCCAATGTTTTACTGTTCATTTCCATAAGCCCACGTGGTGATTACAACCGCAAACCTATGGATTATAAGCAGGCGAGTGGGGGGAATATTGCTTAAGATAACAGCTTTTTCTTGCCGTACGATAAGCTTTTGTTTTTTCCTTGGTTGCCACAATTTAAGATCATAGCATTAGTTAGCTCATGTTTCACACTTTAACTGGCGATAAAATTTGAGGTTACGATATGCTGCTAAAACACTCTATTCCCAGAATGAAAAGGGTAATGAAAACTCCAGCCGAATGTTCACGACTGACAGTCTTAAAAGGCGAAAAACAAAACTTTGCACTCAACGTAAAGAAAATCGCAGAAAAATGCTTTCGAATGTCAAAATGGAGTCGACAAAACAAACAGGAACAAAAAAAGGCCGAGTATGCAAAAGATTGAAATTGATATGATACGATGATAGCTGAATTTTTTTTTATAGCTGTGAGCGGTTAAAGTCAATTTAGGGCCACTCTGTAATCTATTGGTTGTAAATAGAGGAAGAGCTTGAGCAGTCATCTCGGCGACAGTGTGGGCACTGTCGATATTAATTAAAAAGAAAAATATTAAGGCCATTCAGTTGTCAATTATTCTGCTATTGATATCTCGATCCATCTAGTTTCAGGTTACAGGTTGTCAGTTTTTTTAGCCAGCCACGATCTTGGTTAGAAACAGTTAGTGAGTGAAGAAATTCGTCTGAGAGTCGTGTTTGTATCAAGTTGTTAAAAAATTCCAGCTGCCCAGTTTATCGTTCTACAATTTGTTTTTTCGGAAGCTGGCTTAAGTATAAATTTGCAAAAGAAGACGAAATTTTTACATACACAGTTAATGATTCTACCATTAACTTTAGCGTTTTTTTCGATTTTCGTCTTGTTACTGTTAAGCAAACCACGAAGGCAATGGCAGCGAGGACGTGGCAAAACAAAAGATCTGATGGGCAGAACAATAGCTCAGCACGTGCGTTTTAAAACTTTGTGAAATCCTCAGAACTGACGTGCTCTGAGATCGGAAACCCCGGCGGCAATTTGTTTAAGTTTCCATTTGGCACGTAATGCTATTCACATGCGTTTTGTTGAAGTTTAGGTGTGGAAAATACACCTAGCCATTCGAAAAAATTCTACCCAAAAATACAAATTTATTTTCTAAGCGCGTCTTCCCCTGCGTTTCAATCCTGAATGAGAAACGAGAAGAAACGTTTGTGATTTTCCAGAGCTCTATTTACACAACACAAGGATCTCAGTTTCACGGTTTCATCTCAAAATAATATAGCTTGCGAAGTTAAAAGGCCTCAAATCTCCTTATGAGGCTTGAAGTTTCCCAGTTTGCTTTCAGTCTAGAGATCATGTCTATGACAAAACTAACAAAAGAACTTGAAAATTGATGGTAAATGCTTACATATCAAATGATAATCTGTGAATAATGTTAAGAAAGTGTCTTTTGCATAGCTGTGAAGACCGTTTGATTGCGATCGCGAGAAAGTGAGAGTACCTTGTACAAAGACTTGTTAAATAATTTGCAAATAAGAGACTAGTTTATTTCTCTATCAGATCAGTTATAAATAGATAAAATACGTACTACTAGCACCCTAATTAGTCCAAAACCTATTGTTTATAGAACCAGCAAATCCATAGGAAATAGAATTTTATTTTATAAAGGCAATAGTTTGCAGTATTTATCAATTTGGCGGCGTTATGTTGGGAGAACACTCGAAAACTGGTTTGTGGTTGAATCACTCGCCTCCGGCTCTTTATTCCCAAATTTTTTTTCGTGCTCTTCAACATCCCAGCTGATTCATTACACCAGTAAACCAGTACAAACTGCAGTCTATTGCTTACGATTATGATTCGGAGCTACTTCAAGTTATTAAATAAAAGTAACTGATAATGTATACCTTGTTAAATCGCACATGTGGCGAGTGTGGGTGCGCACTGATAAGGCGTTTCAGGTAGCAAAGCTGGCAGTGTGCATTGACGGGCGTGAATTTCGTCGATCTCACGCGCTCTTGCGTGATGAACGTGGGATAACGGGCGCGAATTTTGTCGCAGTCCAATCGGTGAAATCGAAAGATAAGGAAGTTTTCTAGTGTCGCATAATTTTATCATAAGTCAATCAACCTCAATTTTTTGGGGGTTTGCGACTCTGTAAAAAAAATGAGTTTATGAGCCTCGTGTATGCAGGAAAGGTTTTTATCTTTTCCCACAAACGTGGGCTTTTTAAGCAGGAACAGCTACTAAAATTAATTCCCATAAAATCACTACAAATTGCACGCAATAAAAATTCTACTAACAAATCTTCCAGGAAGGTTCGCATTAAATTTTGTCGGCCATCCTTCCCAAAATGCCACTTAAGAATGACGGTTTCTTTTGTGTGTCGATGAGAGCTGAGCCAGTGAATGAATACATAATTAGTTCAACGAAACAAGCCACAACCACCTTTTCGGGAAGTGTATTTGAAGACAAAGATTGTTTTTAACTTCTCATACGCTTAAGGCAAGACGAAAATACGTATTTCGGTCTAAAAGTAGATGTCTGACACAACAAAACAACTTATTCGTACGTATTTGGGTTTTTACGGTTCATTAAACCTGAGTTTGATTACAACGAAATAGCCTTATTTTTAGACGATCGATTTATAATGCACTTAAGGAATGTAAACTCCTTGCCTTTTATTCGTGACTCTAAATCCGTTTCTTGTTAAGCTGACGGAATTAAAGGAAAGTTTGTAAGCCGCAAAAGATGCGAGTAGTAATGAAACCAGTCAAGCTCTTGTTTCCAGCCGGAATACAGAGAGATCGATAACAAAATCATATATAGACATTAATTACTCTCATCTATCATCTGATAACCGACAAATTTATAGTGAAAGACGCGTGCTCAGCCATGTGAACGCGTTAAGTATGAACAAAATGAACAAACCTCCAGAATTTTTTCATATTTCAACTGTTTGTTCAACGGAAAATCGTCGCGTTACAAGCTCATTTGACGATGTATTTCCTCAAATGAAATGAATAACAACAATTTGCCAAATTCTCTACAAGTAAGTAGGGTTCGGCCAAGACCACCTTGAAAACTTATTATCAGTGGTATAGAACGAACCTTTTGTGAGCTATGTCATTTTGAATTGGAGGCGTTATGAAAGAGCACTCAGCGGTCAGCGCTTGTCAATTGAGGTGGACATTCAAATGAACGATTGATGACAATTCTATGAAAAATTATCGTGCAGTCTTTGTTCTCAATAAGGTCGGTGGTGGCTGACGCCGAGAAAGTTCGCCTAAACTGCTTAATAATTCAAACTTTTTAGTATTTAATCAGTAGATGCATTAAATGCTAAATGAATGATGGATTTTTCAAACCGTATTATTAAACATGTGGAAAGGGGTGTCGATAGCCACGCCACTTATTCTTGAAAAGCTGTGACACATTACTTTTTAAAAAAAACCTGCTGTCTTTTCTTTTCAATGTGCTAACAAAATGATTAATTATTTACAACATCTTTGTAGTTATAAATGGCATGCGACTCTCATTTTTACCAGAGCAAGCTTGGAGAAGGAGACATTTATTGACTGTCAAGATGAAATCAAGAGCTGTATCAGCGCTCATCCTTGTGTTCATTCTGGCCATTCCGCATTGTGTGCTTAGCCAATCGGGATGGCTGTGTCCTTTCGACTATCGTTGTGGGAAAAGAGAGGTTTGTAGAAAAACTGGCTCGAATTATTTGTGAGATTTGTTTCATCAGCTGTTGATATCCTTAATGTCATTCACGGCTCGATTAGAAGCACTTGGAAGAAGTGTTCAGATCATCAAAGTTTTTAAAATCTAGGGTGACGCCATTTTACAACTCAGAATCTACGTGATAATCCACATCTGCGATCCCACTGCTGCTTATGAAATCCTTCCACTCTCGAGATCTCATTAGTAATTTTCCTTACGGTCTACAATACAATTCTTATGATGTCAGTTTGTAGAATTTGGTATTGGATCAACAAACAGTCGCTTAGTTAATATTTTTCTTTATTCTCATCACTTTTCTGGTTGATATTGTTAAGAGAAATTCTGTCTTAGTCCCTATGGGAGTTAACGCAGAGGCCAATTGGACAGCGTCGAGGGTCTGGATTCGAGCCTAAGCAATACCGTTGTGTTGCGTTTTGTGGGCAAGCAACTTAATCTTAGGTAATATAATGAGTTCTCGGCGAACTATCTAAGAAATCTGCTTGTCTAGGCAGAATAGCGACAGTAGTACTCCAATCATACTTAGGAAACCGCGTAGGAAATTATGAAGCATGTGACCCACAACTCATTTTTTGGAAAAAAATGAAATATGACTATTCTTGCAGATAAATGACAAGACAGCTCTCTCAAACAGCCGCTTAGCAAATCGACTTCGCCTACTCAGGAGTATCTATTCGCTATCAGATGGAAAAGATTCATTGATGAAATCTAACAGAGGACTCGCTAATGAAAGACTTCCTGAAAGCACGGGAGAATAATCAAGAATGAAGAAAATATCTATAGATGAGCGTTCTGATAAATCTAGATTTATGAAATGTTATAATCAAATTATTTAGATATATAAGAATGTTATTCTGATTAAAATAACTTGAATTAATCTTCTAAATATAATGGGAAATAAAATTATTTCATTGCAGTAGCTCGCCGCCTATTTCTAAGTTCTGTCTTCAACTTCCTTAGACCTCAGAGGCTTGAAAACCACTTTCAATAATATTGAAGGTGAACTATTATCCTAAGCTAAGCTTGTATGCATCACATAGGTAGGCAAGACTTTCAATAACTTTTTCAATGAGCGGCTGGTTATGGCGATATAGGCTGCTTTTCGTAAGACCCAACGCATGTACAAACATGAGAGCCTGCTTGCAGGCTCAACATGCCCAGACGGTGGTGAGAGGTCTTAAAGGCAGAAGACCACTGGTAGCCGAATTATAAAAACCCTGGGGAATGAATAACCCCCTCCTCCCAACGACACACGCGCGAACAACATGTTTTGCGCCAAGGCATAAAGAAAAAACGAAAACAAATCCCCATTTCGTGATTTCACCATTCAGAATTTTAAATACTATGTTTAGTTTGTCCGAATAAAATCATAGATATTGCGCGTTCCATGAATGAATTGGTTCACATCATTCAATTTGAGCCTTGGAACGAAATTACCTCAAATGAGCTTTGTATTCCCTAATCTACCAGCAGTTGCTCGTCAAGTCTGTAGTAGCTTCTGGAGAAAAGAGTAATTCGTTATATTCATTTCTTAGAATCTATCATGCAAAGCATATTGAAATACACGCTCTAGTAACAAGCCAATCTGGGTTACTTCGTTGATGCGGCACTGCTTTTGTTACTTCGTCATGCTGATCATAGTGGATCTTCCAGGAGTTTAAACCTACACTCCCCCCTGGATGGGCGACCAGTCGATCACAAGGTTATATACCCCAGCATTTCACCAAGCTTCCCTGACAATTCGCCGGTACCCATTTATACTCCTTGGCGCAGAGAGGCACTGTGAGGGTGAAGTGTTTTGCCCAAGAACACAACACTTTGACTCGGCCGGGTCTCGAGCCCAGACCTCTCTACCAGGAGTCCAGCGCATTAATAAATTTACCACAGCGTCTTCCCATACGTTTTCAAAGACAACGTTTTTTATCTCTAAATTTCTCTAATTTTAGAGGAATATCCGAAAGAGGCTTCCTTTGTTTATGTGCCCTTTTTCCATTACTAACTAGTAAGCCGAACTAAACCAGAGCAAATGTCTCTTCTGTAAAAACAGGAGACGTGACTTCAAGAATAGAACCTTTGTGGTTTGGCCTTCGTGAAAAACAGTTGCAATGCCGGCATTTGTCGTTGCTAACCACGGTCAAATCTCTCTAGAACTGGGCCTAAAAGTCACGTCTGAAAATTCCAACTTTGAAATGAAAAAACTAAAATAAGAACAGTATAATTGTTTTGGAAGCCAAACTTACGAAATATTTCATGTTCGGTTTTAGCTAACGGCTCAGTAGTAGTACTACTAAAGTCAAACTCCACTGTGAGCAGCAGAACTCAGAGTAAGAGTTTTTATGCCGCTGATTTCAGGGTCAACAGAGAGAGGCACTGATCGACCCGATTGAAAGATTTTCACCCTTTTGACTCGAATTAGACTGAAAATGGTGACAGGCTGAAAGCGAAACTTTAAGATAAACGAAATTGCGCCAATTCAACGCCATAAAGACAAAAATTTATTGCCCGCTCAATTACTTAAATTACATTCATATTATATCTTAAAAAATTTATTCCTTTTGAACTTTGTTTAATTCTTTTGTACTCTTGTTGATCACTGGCCGTTCCCATAAGCCTTCAAGATGGCGGCTCTATTCAGTCCTCTCGCATCCACCCTTTCTTTTCTTTCTTCAGCCATCCGACGGAAGTTTCTCAGAGAACGAAGACGGTTGCCAAAACGACTCTGTGGTAGGGCAGTTTTGTCGCTCATCTATACAAGAAAGATCATTAAATTTACTCCTTGAGATATGTGGAGAAAAACACTAAGATAAGCCTTCTATCATTCAAAATTTCACCAATTCTAGTTCCCTCCGACGATTTTTCAACCCAAAGGAAGATAATTTTGAGGCGTGTATTTCGTTTCTACTAAGACACCAGTATACCAATTTTTTTTTAAATTCTGTAGAACATTCGAGTGTTTTGATAGGCTTATCGACTATGGTATATGAGCCACTACACCATAGGAAAACTAGAGGCAAATATTTTCATCTTTTGCTATTATTCACAAATAAAGTCAGTTAGCAATATATATCGATATTTTGTGCTAATTTTAAATGAATCAGGGAAGCGAACTTGCCAGTAGGTTCGTTGGTCGATACATATATCATTTCGTATCTGACTGACGATCGTGAAATAACTGATTAGCTGGTGCTCTACAAGTTTATGGTAAATTTAAAGTAAATAATTTTGTGGAACATGTTTTCCCAATTCCTGGCACTTTGTTAGAACAGAGTTTGTTTTTCAGTTTCACAAACCTCTCTTTTTCCGCAGCTGTAATCAAAAGGGCATCTCCATCCATTGCTCTGCGCTGACACAGGGCAGGAAATATTTAAGACGAAAACAAGAAAGAAAACAAAAACAGTTGACGATTTCATCCTTAACTCGGAAATGTATACCCGAAATTTGTATCTTGTGTGAAAGAGTTAACTGCTAATCCTATGAACACAAAACTCGTACGCTGATCTTTTTATATATATGTCCAAATCCATTGAGATAATGACAAAAATTTGTTAACAAATTAACCGCGAAATGTCATCCGCTTCTCGAGGAAAATTTTCAAGTAACGTTTGCATAATTTTCTATAGCTTTTCCAAGTTAAATAGCGTGCCTCTCCATTTTGTCTTTAAAATATCGTCTTGTGCAACCACCTTTTAATCAGCACCTGTCTATTTCCTGACCTATTCTAATTAAAAGCAACTTTGAATTATTTATACGCTTCACCTCGTGCTGAGCCAACCTCTCTGAAAACGGTCCGAAAACAAAGAACGAAACCTTCTCGCATTCGTTATCGTCAATTACTAAGTACATATCATTTGCTAATAAACGTTAACTTCTTTTTACCTCAGAGAACTCCCAGGGGGATAGCGATTCCATTTTATGCACGAATTTTAGAAAACTTCACGCGTCACGTGCACTTTTAGTAAACAGTATTTCACAGGTAACGAATTTAGAAGGGAAACCCTTCAAATTTCACCTTGCCTTGCCTTTCTGTAAAATTCACGCGTCACGTATTAACTTTGAGCTTGATCACGCTTCATGCTTAAACCCTTTGCCGCCCTCCCCCAGTTCGGGCGGCTTTTGAATACCTTATTTTTTCCGTTTCAAGGAAAGCGCCTTTTCTTCATTATTCAATTTTAAAGGTAGCGCAGTTCAAATCATACGGTGGAAATATTATCAACGAGAACTCAGCAAAACCGATTAAATTAAGGAAGTGTTCTTGTGATAAAACTTTAACCACCCCAGCACATTTGTAAATGTGCCAATTATTCGCTAAGTAACTGTAATTATTGGCATAATTTCTGATATATGATACGCAATTATCATTAATTGGGATCCTAATTATAAGAAATAAAACGTGAATTTGGTTAACACAGCACTGCCATACGGTTTTAGTAAAATAAACACCATATTTTTCGTTGGGTTGACAAGAAATGAAACCACCCACCACATTATAGGTTGAAAAGTCATGCAGGCAGTCAATAAATAGGGAAGGTTACTGTCAAACTTAAAAGGAGCTAACAAATTTATGTTGTTTGAAAACATTTTACCTTATTTTCTTTAAGTTCGTCATTTGGAATCCATGAAAACTTTCTCCAACCTTTACAGTCCGTAGTTACCTTTTAGAATTTTTTCTATTCTGCCAAACTAAAGTTCCATGGTTTTCCTAATTGAGGGAAAGCCCCACGCAAGACGAAATTTCGAAATACAGCCGAGCTTACAGAAATGAAAGACTTCTAGATAAATGTAGATAAGATTCGTGATTAATTATAAAATGTGCCACGCAAGTACATCACAACTTTTATGCACGCTAATTTGCTAAATGGGAAGTGACAAGCCAAGTATTTTTTTTTTACCTCCGATTAAAAAGGTTAGGGGTACCCAAGGGTAAATTATTTCGATGAAAAAAAGCGGCTGTCATGAAAGATACAGAATTGGATCAAAATTGTTATTGATGGCATTGAATGGTTTAAAGTTAATTTGAATTAAAGGGCACTAGGCGCTGTCTTTTTTGTAGTTTTTTTTCTTGGGTGCGAGCCAATTTCTGTCGACCGAGTTACTTCAATGGACCAGCTGTAATGTACTTTATTATGTTGTAATTAGTTCTAATAGAGCGAGGAAGCTACGAATCGAATTCCAGAATTTCGTTGATATAGAGAGAGTATTACGTCTAACACCAAGAAGGTTGATAAAACGAAAAGGCCTTTCTCCAAAAAGATCAGCTTTTACTAGTAGTACAAGGAAGTAAACGCCACTGTTATGGCAAAAATAGGAGAAAGAATGTACTCTTATCCACACGTTAAAAAAACTTTCTCTCATTTGTACGTTATAAATACTGAAAGTTGAAAAATAAAAAATACAGTCCATTAATTTTTTTTCTATGACGTAACAGTTGACTTAACATCTGTTCCTTTAACCATAATGGGAAAACTCAAACACATTTACCATTACCTCATTCAAACTCAAATATAAACACACCTTCATTCACCAGGATTTCTCTAAGATACACCTGTTAACACTCGCAGAGACGGCGAAATATTTTCGTGCTCAGAGACAAGTCGATCCCTGGATAATTTCACCAATACTCATCAAATAGAAGAATAATAAGAAGATTTACATGCAAATCTTCGATTCACGGTCTATACAACAACCTCATGCGCATGTGCATGAAAACGAGTTACATACAATAACACAAGTCAGTAAGTCACGGTGTTTTAAAAGCGTATAACTTTTTTGGTAAAGCTTAAAACAACCTGATAAATTAATTGGACACCCGTACTTGAAGAAGCGTTGTGTTCGGAAAGTCTGGAGTTTTCCATTTCCCCATCTTTTTATTCCTTTAACAGATTGCTTTGAACGTTTCAATTTTGTTTCGTTTAATTTGCAAGACAGCTGTAACTTGTTATGTTTTCCTTTAAAAGTTTGCGCGGGAAATTGGTGCGCGGGCGGCCAGAAACGTTTGACCGTTGTGTTGGCATATCTAAGCTTGCACTCCAAAAATACCTACAACCAAGTAGATTATCACGAAACTCTCACTCTTCACAGAAACTATCATGCACTGTTCATTTTCGTATCGTCGTCCTTTTTCAACCACGTAACTCTTGACACGATGATCATAGAACAGCGCAATTTTTGACTCGCTGCACATCTATTTATTCAAACCGTTATTTTTATTGACGTTGCATTCTGCTTGGCGGACGCCAAGTGGCCAGATCGGTGCCTTTTACTTTTTCAAGGATAGGCTCTTTGCAAGTATGATCCATCTGTACCAATAATTCAGACCCGTAAGCACGGCGTCTTGAGTTCTTTCATATCTATGTCGCTCGCAATTACATCGTTCTAGTTCTATTTGCCTTCTCCATTGTACAACAATTGAAATCCCTTCTGATTTTCTAAAGGAAAAACCGGAGCTCTTTTCTTGGTCTTGTCAGCAATCTCGATTACAAGTTCTAGAACAAATGTAGTAGTAATTAGAACACTCAGTTCAAAAGAATCGTCTCAAAATGTGCTTAATGAAAAGTATCCAACCGAGTGCGTTTTTGAATAAAGGGGGTAAGTTTCTAAAGAAAATGTGGTGCTGCGTCGGTGGGAGAGTATAACAGGGTGATTTAGTATTATCAACTGAGTTGATAACGTAAATTGTCCACCTTAAAGAGTTTCAAAGATGACGTGCTGACGTTTCGAGCGTTAGCCCTTCGTCGGAGCGAATGATGACGTTATGCCGTTAAGTTATGACGTTAGCTATAACAAGGGGCTACCGCTCGAAACGTCAGCTTTGAAACTCTATACGGTGGCCAATTTACGTTATCAACTCAGATGATAATACTAAATTACCCTGAGTACTTTTCGATTGAGTGTGGTGAAGCCAAAACCAAGGCAATCACAACACAACAAGAAATCATAGGAAGAAAGATGAGCCAACGAGAGCTCAAAGTACAAACAAGCAAACTGCCTGAAGCGCGTGAAAACGTGGGTGAACAAGTCGCGATTGGTTTTAGTTTTGAATGTGATTGGCTGAGAAAAAGGCGCGAGTTTTCTGGACCAATCACGAAACGACTAAGTAGAACAAAAACAAAGTAATCCCGGATTACTGACGACAATAAATTTCAAAACTGGTCTAATAATTATAACTATGGATGACTTCTTAATATGTAATCGCTTTCGCTAAGTGAGGTTATGTATCCTGTTTAAAACCTTTTTTATCCGTCTTAGTTAAGTTTAATAGTGTAAAGACTTCCTTAAGGCCATATCGGTAAATTGCGAGGGCTCTCGGCCGCAAGTGAGAACGACCAACAACTCATTTACTTACTTAACGTCTCGTCAACTACTCCGGGTAAGAGATCCATTAGAACCTGACAGTTAGTATGAAGTGCAGGGTTAATATTCACTTCTAACAACCACACCTGAAGGCAGAAAGAAAAACAACTTATGCCTCTACAAAATTTAAAAGAAAAACATAACACAAAGAATCGGATACCGCGCTCCGATGCTCTACCACTGAGCCACAGAGACTCGATGGTGAGCAAGGCCCATTAAGAAGTTCATATATCACACGCGTCCTGCATACTGCTAGGATCAGCTATGTCGATAGCGTCGTGTTTTGTATAAAGAATAGGAAAGAAGATAAGTCTAATAAATGGTAAATCCGAACGATTGAGGTTCGATTCCTCATGGGGACTCAGAATTTTTTTTTTGTCCCTCGCTCGTGACAAGACGAAAACCCATCTTTCTCCACGATCTTTTTTTTTTAGCTTTGAGGTGCGCCGCGCAGACCTTGTAGTTATTTCGATTAGAATAGTCCATCCAAATAGCACAATACACAGAAAAACAACGATTATTATTCAACCTTTACACCCCATCATCATTATGTACATTCTCCATACTTTTCTTCATACAGTTCCGATTGCACTGACAAGGAGAATTTCGCTAAAATCAATATCTTTTTCGCTTTGCGATCATTTCCGTAATCCTCACGAGCCTAATGTTTGATTAAGCAGCGATACCTCAATGACAAATTTGATTCTAGTCACCCTCAATGTTAAAAGGTTAAAGCCTTGCTACCTCTAAGTTTTGATTGGTTACAGGCCATGGTACCTGAACATGGTACCTGAACGTAACATGAGCCTCCGCTTGAGACGTTTTGGGGGTTTTAAATAGAATAATTATCATGCTCGCGCTTGTTGGACATGTTGAAGTGAAAAACATTTAAGCTACGTGCCTTCTTCGTTATTTATCATTTTATATCCAACGCACACTTTGGGGATAATTGTACGCATTTGACTCACTTTAAAATTGTCGTCGATGAGGAAATCGAAGCCTAGCAAATCAAATGTTCCCGCTCTCCTGTGAAGCTTCTGACGAACACTGTGAAAACACATTGTCATGATCTGATGCATGCGTTTCTAAAGAGAGAAAAATAAAGGTGCAATAAGGAAAAGGAGATTGACACAATATTGATCATTTCATAACTTAAACCAAGAAGTAAGTGCAGCTTTATAAAACGCACACTTGCAGGATTAGAACAACTGAACGTAACGCATCTGCATACAGCCAAAATCTGCCCCATTTAAAAGACAATGCCATTCACAGTATCAGTCAAAACCACTCACCGTAAATGTGGTGTAAACCCAGTTTTCAGGGAGTTCCTTCTCCTTGGCATACTTCTCGTCGATGTAAGACTGCAAACGTTCGAAACTCCAGACAGTGTCTTCTTTCATAGATGAATATAAAGGATGTTTCTTTTGGACATACTGTATGAAAAACACAAATAAGGCAACATCAACATCAAGTAGAGCGAGATAATTTTATGTCCTAAGGAAGTCATCAGTGCTTTACTCAAATAACAGAAGCTGGCGAGTTTCTTTAAACTTTACACAACTCTGACCTGATTGGTAAGATGAGCATGCAGTCCAGCGGCATCCGGACTGTAGGGTGTATACGGGACACACGAGAGTCGCACATATCCCGAATGATAGAAAACTATGAAAGGAGTGGTACTGGCAATCAGCATGTACGTGCGAATGTCAAATTTACAGCCATTTAACAGGAGAGGATTCATCACATATCTGCAACAGAGAAAGATATTTTGTTAACTCATTATGCATCACAATCAGGTGAGAACTGCTGCAAATCGTCTGTCACTGTCATGCCTGTTAAACTCGCTGATGATTCTTGAGAAAAAGCTTTCTGGGCTTAACATTAATACCAATACCTCACTTTCCCGCGCGTGACAAAAGATAATCGTTTGTCGGCGCTTGCCAAAACTTACTCATTTTCTAGTGCTTAGAAAAGTTTATTCGTTTGCCAACGCTTGGTAAAAGTTACTCAATTTCCCGCCCGTAGCAAAGGTTATTCGTTCTCCCGTCCTTGGCAAAAGTAATTCATGTTCACGCCCTTTTACTCGCGTTCCTACGCCTAAAAGACGTTGACCCTTTTTCCGCGTTTGGTAAAAGTTACTCGCTTTTCCGCGCTTTGCAAGGGTTATTCGTTTTCCCGCGCTTAGCACACGTTGACCCTTTATCCGCTCTTTATCCGGTTCCTCATTTTCCCGCCCTTACTCGTTTTGCTGCGCTTAGAAAAAGTGATTCATTTTCTATTCCTTAGCAAAGGATACTTGATTTACGGTGCTCGGATAAAGTTACTCATTTAAAGCTCCCGGTAAAAGTCACTCGTTAAACCGAGCTTTTCTCGTGCTTTAAATGGTGACTGAAAAGAAATCCGTCATTTTACGCAAAGTCGACAAAGACGAGTACCTCTGTATAACGCGTCCTTGTGGGGGTCTCAATAAACTTCGTCTAGCACTTGCATTATCACCTCCGTTCATGTTAAGCTTTTCGATCAGCTGCTCTTTGCTATTAACAAGATAAATTCCTTTTCCTTGATTCATACCCGTCGGTTTGCAGATCCAAATTTCACCTTCTGAAGGAGCAAAAAGAACTGCTATTTATGCTGCATTACGTTTTTTCTTTAGATCAATTTTCAATTGAGTTTCGAAAGAAATTCAGGTTGGTGTTTCTATGAGTCACCATGCTCTGTGATTGGTCTAGCAAATGCTCCTAAACGTCTCGACCAATCAAATGCAAAACTAAAGCCAATCGAGACTTGGTCACAAACGTTTTCCTGCGCTTTAGGCCGGTAAATGAATTTACTGAGAGCTCTTATGATTCGAAAATATGTCGACCCCGTTCTGATTGGCCAACATGGCTACTTCAGTTTCAGTTTTACGACACTCAAAAGAGTTCTAAATGAAAGTAAGCTTTTGATAAGAAGTATAATACAAATAAAAATCCTGCTACAGTTTCAATTGAGTTAAAACATATCAGGCTACTTATACACAATAAAAATTTTAAAAAGAAAGAAAGAAAAAAAAATTACCGATTGATTTAACTGACCTTTGTAAACTTCGTTCACAAACTTGGCTTTTTCTGTTGTGTTCATCAGTTTGTGAGTTTCCGGGACAAACTCACTCAGAGGAAATTTTAGCCTGCACATAAATAAAGAGACTTCTGCTTAGCAAGTTATTATGGTAGCAACTTTTGTAACCTTTTCATGTTGCTTGCTGTGCAAGGCCATTTAACGTCTTAAAAACAATCCCCCATGCCCTACTAATGGCTATAAACTCTATTATTCCCTGACTGTCACACATTTCTTCACTCTCTTTAGCTTGCATGTGCAGTGAATCAAGTGTAATTTAACAATTTATAGCCTAATATCAGAATGCATTTTCTTTATAATGTTCTCTGTACATTTCCCAAGGTTCTGACAGGAGAATTCGTATATCAATCAAGAGCCTACTTCAGTTGATGACAATTCCCTCTACTCTTTTTTTTGTTGTTTTATTCAGTAGTGATACTTTTAGAAGAAGTAACTCGCAAACTAGTCATTTGCAGGTGTGATTAAGTTATAATCACTAACTTGTTCTTGGCCATTTTCTCTTGCACGCGTTGATATTCCTCCAAGCTGCACAGAAGACCCAGCTTTGTTGTCAACAAGTTGATGTTGGAAATGTGATTAGCCAACTGTTCACCTGAATTACAGAAAGAAGAAGAAAAACATGAAGCCAACATCTATGATAGGAAAATCTGGCTTTGGGAGGATTCTGAATCTAACCATTTCATGGTGTTGAAATGAATTAAACAAATAATCCTAAACTATTTTCCTTGAGTCCACCAGTTCAAGCTGGTAAAGCACATCCTGATTTCTGTAGAACGAACTGACTAAGAGAATTGCTAATCCTCTGAATGGGATGCTTAATTAAATTGCAGTTACCCCCAGCATTTTGTCAAGTCAACCAAACAGTTCACCCATTCTTAGTTACACTCCTGCTTGGAGAGATTATTGGCGCTGAAGGACGCGCATTTCTTCGCCCGCGGAAAGTTTAAGACGATTTGGGTAGAGGTTTGCTGGGGGTCTGGCACTACTTCATTATCAGCGTTAGACCCGTTCCACACCTCTCGCCGACCTGCGTTGCTCAAGGTTTCATACTTTCTCAGGCCTGATACTTTCTTGCGGGCGAAGAAACACTCGTGCTAAGACGCAAATGGTGAGGGCCTACCTACAGGCCACACAAACTCTCACATCCAGCATGTCAACTATTGGGCCTTCATGGCTAGCAGAAACATTTCACTTCTTTCCTAATACAACTATTTTACACAATCTAACTTTGACGTGAATACAGAGAAAACAGCAACAAATCATGGAACAGATAATGCACTGACCATCTCTGAAATTTTCATAGTTAATCTGACTCTTGCACTCCACCCATTTGAGTTTGAACGATTCATCCAACTTGTCTTCAATTCTAGACCATCCAAGTGAAACCAAAGTTGATTCGATCCTAAAGACAAAGAGAACGCTCAAAATTCTTTCCACATTAAATGCTTTGTTTATTGACTCGACATAACCTTATCCCGGCTCTTCCAGAAACGCATTTAAAAGCCCAACCAGCTTTTCTGGACTTGCATGCAAACTGTTGGTCAGTTAAAGAAAGTTTTTATAACTCTACAACATTCATCTGCAGTAATTCCAGGTGTTTTCCACACATAACTAATTGATCAATGATCAATGAAATCCAAGGGTCATTAATCAATTGATAATCAGTGAGCAACCATTTGATAATTCATTGAGAATAAGCAATTAACCAGAACAGGCAGAGAATTCTCTGAGCAGCAATGTCTCCTGAATGACCACCCTCTTTGCATACTCAGAAGACATCTTTGTTTCAACGTGTCTGATTAACTAAATAAGTCTATTCTTACATCCAATTTCCATTTCCTCCTCCAATGAAGAACCTTGGCTGTTTACCATTCACGTAACTACTGACTGATCTTGCACCACTCCTACGAGAGGAGTCCCTGTTGTTGTTCTTTTCATTTCCCATTCCCTCTTCCATTGCCCGAGGAACCACTCCCGGAGTCTGCATCAAAATGATCAAAACAATTAATTCACAGGGTTACACTCAACAGTTTACCAGGCTAATCCCTTGTTTGCTGGTTCCCATTCCCACTCCTGGGTTGTGAGGGGCAGTGTGATAGTGAAGTGTCTTGCCCAAGAATGTACCATAATGATGAGCTCTCATGGAATCAAGACTTTTTAAACTGCCGTAAAACGTACCTAATTACCATTATTTCCCCATCTTTTCCAAGTCTGCAGAAATTCTTCTTCATTAACTTGAGTCTATTTCAACTGGCTAAAGTTAGCTATCTTTTAACTGATTTTTACAATTCGAACAATATCTTCCATGTGCAAACTAATGCTGATATACAGTCAATCAACATCAAACAAAACAAACACAAAAAAAGTCCATTACACCAACCTTTCCCATTTTTTGTAGCCTTGGAAGGAGACACAGACCTTCTGGATTTGCTTCGACTGTGATTACTGTCTGAATTGTTAGGACACTGGTTTATACAAAACGAATCACAATTCATGCCAGTATGAATAAAGTCAAAACACTCCAAAGATGAAGAATTTTCCTTGCAGTACTCTAAATTTCCATAGTCATTCTGATCATGGTCTTGAGAAACATCAAAACGATTAACACTGCCAGAGTCTTGATGTATGCAGTTGACATTTACATGACAACACTGAGGACAATGACAGTCTTGGTCAGTGTTTGACTGCATTGTTGATTCCATTTTAGTTTTGTTTGCAGAGTGATCCTTTGGAATTGTATTTTTGTAGTGATCACTTGAGGAGGAATATTCTGTCTGTTGATGACTTGAATGTAACTCAATTTCTTCCATGTCAGAAATTGCATCATTACATTCACTCTCAATATCCATGCTTATCTTTGTCAGCAACCAAGTAACACATTCATCGAGGTTGTTAAAGTTTCTCTGCAGCAGTTGGGCTGTTGTAGTTGTAGAAAAATGATTGGAGGAAACTGCATCATAACATTTGTTTGACTCTGGAGAAGTGATGTGAGAGGAAACAGCTTGTTGATTAGAATTCTTTTTGACAGGGAAACTGTGATCCTCTTTTTGGGAGCAACTAACATTCAACAGGCTGCAAGGACGCATCTGTTTATCATCATTTATTTGACTGCCAATCTCCTCATCTGCAAGTTCTTCTGCATTTTGATCTTCTGTTTCATTTCCTTGATCTTCAGCAAAGATGGACCTCTTTCCTGGCTCAAACTGTGAGCGCTTCCATGAGTGTTCTGGGCAGTGGCTCTGACAAATTCCCATTAACCAAGTATCGATGGATTTGAAATGATACTGCATGCTGTGATAGCTCTTGGCATTGAATTTGTAGGAGTCATGGTACTGAACCCTGCACATAATAAACATCAAGATAAGATCATTCAAAACAAAAATCAAACAATCCAGAAATTAATAAATCAAAAACTTATGTTCTAAACCATGAATCTTGACTCTTTGCACCCTTTAGCCAGTGGCACATCTGGCAGTTTTGTTTGCCAATCACAGTACAATTTCATTTCTGGCAAAAATTGCAGATGTCTCATATGCCAGATATCAGCAATTTTACACACAAAAGGCCAAGTGTGTCATCAGCTTAACATCAGAATCTATATTCTCCATACTCCTTTCTATACATTTCGTTTGGTACTGACAAGGAGAATTTGCTTATTCATCAAAGCTTCTTGGGTTGGCAATCATTTCCTGTATTCTCGTGATTATAATGAATGATTCAGCAGGATCACTGTAAGGAGAAATTAGATGCTAGTCACTGTTAAAGGTTTAAGATACCAGAAGTTGAATGAGCAGGCCTTTAGATATGGACAAGTATTCCTGAAAAGGGCTTTTACGAGTACACTGATGTTTCAACAACCTCAGCTGAAATCAAGATCAGTCAGAGAATATGTCAACTTACTTCCCCTTCTGCCATCTGGCACCAATTGTCTTCTCTCCATCTCCTGCCCAAACTTCAACATGGACCATGTTGTGACGCTGTTTCTTTGCTAAAAGTTACAAGATCACAATTTACCTCTGTCAGTTAAAGGCAAACTAACTAGCGATAACTCCTACAGGCATGCTGTACTTTTAAAATCTTAACCAACTCAGTGACATCTAGTTCATTAGCTCCTTCATGCTTGCTGGACGACATTGACATCATCAGGCTTGATGAACCTTAAAAGTTTGCCAATCTATGGAACAGGCTGGGAAACTATTAAATTTTAAGTTAGGAAGACAAGCTAAAATTGATCTATCCATACAAAGCAATTATTTTTACGCCTTATACTTGGGAGTCTATCAGCCTTGAGAAACAAAACAAGTTTTGCAGTTTTTTAAGAGTTGCCAGAACACAAGTATGGAATAACTGTTATATATGTTGTGGTTCAATTTTATCCTTGGTTCAAATTTTATTTTCCTTTGTTTCAAACTCATCATCATACATTACAATACCCAAAAACAAAAGAAAATAAAATTTGAACCAAGGATGAAATTAACCACAACATATACATATAAATGTTGACAAGTAATGTTAAAAACTAAGTGATGCTTAAAGAGTAAAATCACAAAACAATAAATTAAAGAATATGTCTACATAAGAAACATGATTGTGACCTCTAGTTCAAAATCAGACTGATTACTGTCAGTGCTAACAATATACAAGAAAGATAGAGAGTATGATCTGATTGGCTGAAAACAAGTGCATTTTTCATATAACACAAGTGCAAAATTGTAACATGAGTGCAAATGACAAATAGCACACGTGCTGCCAAAATTTTGTCCATCATAACTATCTATTTGGTGTAAGCAGATAGATGTTTAAAAGTACCTACATTTTGGATTATGATAAATTCCTGACACAAACACAAGATCTCCTGGCTTCAAGTTTTCAGTTTTCTCCACATTGAGAGGAAGTGTATCGTACTGCAAAAATGAGAAGAAAAATTCTTAACTATGACAAATGCTGTGGCATATTGTAAAATACTATCATTAGAATTTGACCATTAGTGGTATGTCTCACCTCTATGTTAGAATAATTATGACCATGTGTATAAAGGTTGATCAACTATATTGCATTAAAACAGTTAATGGTTTCTGCTTGTTATAATGTGAATGTCTGTCTACTATACCATTTGTTTCACTGTTATTCCCCTAAAAACCCATGCTAACAACTGCAACTCTTTACCATGTAGGCTTGATTCCATGGCCCAACTTCAAAACCAAAATCTTCTTTGAGATCCCTCAGTACCCTTCTGATCAAACCACAGCAATCAAGAAAGAATGGTGCATTGAACTCTGCCGCTGTGGAGACACAAAATTCTGTTTCAGTTCTATTAATATACTGTACACGATTTAAAGTTGAAAACAGCCAAATGGTATCATTTTAGGAACAAAAATTCAGTGTATATTGCCAAATATTACTCCTCTGAAACAAGTCAATTTATTAAAAACTTTTCACCAATCTCAGTGACAGCTCATGTTGTCATCCCCTTCCAATCAGTCCCCCCCCCGAGTCAAGTTGCCCCCAGGTTGAGGTTGAGAGAGTGCACTGCCTAGTAGAGTTACACTGCCCCCAAACTCACTTCACATTGTTGAAACTGATAGAAAAAAACTTGCATCTCCTCTGGTTCCCCCACTTCTGTAAAATCACTCGGAATTCCTGAAGATTTGACAGGTAAAAGCATTGCTCTACCAGTTAGAAAATTTATTTTACCCATTATGTGCAAAATAAAGGAGAAGATTCCACACCCCTAATGCTATTTACTTTGTATTACAGTCCCATCACTCACAATCTAACAGGCAACCCTCTCAACCCTGGATATATGAATTATTTTCTCTTGATGTTGTAATTAAACAACATGCACACTTCTTACAAGCAATACTGCTATTACATATTTTCAGAGTTCAAAGTTAGCAAATTTGAATCTTACATCCTGGTTCCTGGTATTTCTTGGCATAAGGCACACCAAAGTACAGCTTACACTGCTCAACAAATTTCATTCGGAGGTTATTCATTCTCACAGGATCAACTCTCCACTTTACGGTCTCCTCATCAACTTGTTTGGATAAACGTATAGCATTCTGCAATGTTCAGTGTCACAATAAAATGATCAATATTTCTACAGCAGAGCTGATAACATAACAATTTTATTTTAAAATTCCAAGGCAACATTTGAACTAGACACCTAGACAACAAACGTGTTTTTTCAAGACCACCTCTATAAAGATGTGTATACATACTTTGTAGAGCAAGGTAAATTATAATTGCAAAGGTTTGGTTCATTTTACCAACAAAACTGAATCGAAGACAGACGAGGCATTCCACATAAAAGCATTTGATCAAAGCACTATCTGAAATTAATTTCCCCAGCTTCCTAAACGAAAAATTTCAATTTTGTGACAAGTGTCGCTCCTTCAAATTATCTACAGGTTGTATGACAGCTAATAAGATCACATCATTCAAAACTGTCTCATTCAAATGGCCGAAAAAAATTTTGTCAAGCGCATTCGGTAATTATTCACAATTTAATTAGATTTCATCTTCAAATCTACAGTGTTTTGTAAACATCAAGAAAAGAAATCGTTCCTAGTGCTATAAATTTATTGAAAACAACTTTCCCACGTATTTCAGTTTGTTTTATTTATTGCTAAATAAATAACATGCTAATAGCCACAACTTCAATTTGTCACATCGAGTTTAGCTAAAAGTAACGTCAAGAGCAATCATTTCAAAGCACAAAACAGTTACGAAAAACACAAAACAGAAAGACAAGTTAGACTTCAGTTTACGAGTGAAGAACAATGTTTACCTGTCTCTTCTTTCTGAATTTCTTAAAAGCTTCTTGTAAACTTTCGCCTCGTTTCGCCTTCTCTTCAGCAGCTTCCCAGAACACACTCCCTGTCGTAGTTTTTCGCTTGCTTTCTTCCATTTTGTTCTCTTGAAGTTCACTAAAAGGAGATCGCGTCATTATTAAACGATACTAGGAAAGAGAACTTTAAAGATATTGACTTCTTAACCAAATTGTCCTAAATCACAGTAAATGAGCTCTAATTATGATCGATCATAAAAACCGTTTTGTATTCGGCGTGCTTGTAACCAAGGGTGACAACAGCCTGTCTCCTCCCCTCTCAGTGGCAGGTAGGTACGTGATCTCGGGCAAGTGAACAGCGTGCGACGAAAACACAGTTAAAAACGACAAAAAAAGAAAATTTTTCTTCTTGTGTCACTCTAGAAGGATTACCTTCTATTCGTAATACAGTTTCCGGTTGTTTCAAAAACTGAATTTACTTAATGACTATTAATTTTAAAGAAATAGTAATTAGTACATGTCTTGCATCAATCTCAGAGCAGACCGAAAACTTTATCCCTGTAGATTAAAATTCATATATTCCACAGAAAACAAAAGGAATTTCGGTTACACAGCACGTGTTTACATCTTTGGGAAGCCTACCTTAAGACCCCGACAACAACGATATTGTTCGTTCCGCGTGTCTAAGCAAGACATACGCTGAATATTCAGATAAGATCTGATACTTATCGATTTCCAACAGTCCACGGACGACACAGAGCTTTCATTCGGTCAACGATCGATCAAAATATTGCAGTGAAATGGAGAAATAAAATCGCTAGAGCTTGATGAAAACACTTTTATAGTCAGGAACTGATTGAGTATTTTGTGAAAAATGTCTGTACATGTCAATAAAGATAGCGCCATTTCAGCTGAAAAGAATCTGCGATTGGATGGTTGGCGGTTTTTCGCAAGAAAATAACGTGATTGGTTACCAGCCACGCAAAACCGGGGCATTTAAATTTCGAATCTTCGATCGTTTAAATCAAATCTTCACAAAGTTCCACCCTGTAGGTAACTAGAGGAGTATTTGATCAAATTTTTTTTTATGAAGTATCACCAAGATGGGTGCCTTAGAAAGCAAACAATGGTCTGAAATACCTCCGGAGACACCGAAACCTGTGGATAAGCGGATCTCAAGACTTCAAGTCGCGGATCCTCGATCACCACTAGGAGAACAGAGAACACCGATTCAACTCGAAACTTACGAAGAATCGCCACAAAACAGAGAACTGTGCATTGATCCGCGATCACCGAGTTTTGTAATTACTCGCACTCCAATTACTGTACCTGTCGCGAGGGAGAACATTCAAAAATCGAAGGAAAGCGATGAAAATCATGGTGAAAATACAAAATTGCTCGATCAAGAGGTACATGTAACTGATCAAGATGAAGTGTTCGGAAACGCGAGCGTCGAAGCCGAGGAGCCACCATCGCCCGATATCACTCAGATCAACAAAATCCTAAGTGAAATATCCATGACGCCTGTGTCACCCGAAGCTCCGATTTCGAAGAAAGATACAGCCCGCTTGCTAAAAAAAACCGCCAGCCCATCTGATTTCAAGAGGAAGAGGAGACTTTCTGGTCGTAGAAAATCAGTCCCACAAAAGCTCTTCTCCGACAAGGTGGTTCCAGCTCCCAGATCTCCTCTGGCTCAGAGAAACTCCGTGGAAATAACTGAAGCAGTGAGAAAGGGGAACAGGCTTTCATTCCGAGCACAGAAAAAGAAAAGACTTAGCTTACAAGAAGGACTCTATATTGGAAAGGAAAATACCCACGCTCCTCTGGTGATCATGTAAATTATCTTAAACTTTGAACTTTTAATTTTAAAGATTTGAAATACTTTGAAATAATTTTAAGAAACAGTATTTAAAAAGTTTATAAAAGACATGTTTGTTAAGACATTTACTTAAATGAGACTAAATTATCTTAAAATTGAGTTGTATAATCTATCACTAACAGTAAGAGATGGACAACCTCATGATCCATCATGATCATCAACACTAAGGAAGGTCTAGCACTTTATACTACTTTGTAAAAAAGATAGCCTTCCCTCTGTAGAGAGAACATTGGGGACTAGAGTTGTTGATGATACCAGTAAGTAATTCAAATTGATTACTGACAGTACATGGAAAATGTTGTATGTGTTTAATGATTAAAAAAACTGTTAAATTTTCAAAAGAGTGCCCACATTGAAAATGAGCTTTACAAGAACTCAACTGTGGGCAACATTTCCCATAAACATTTTGTTGCATTTGCAATGTACAGGTTAAATTAGAATATGATTCTTGGTACAACATGTAACTTGCAGATCATGTAAATATAAGTTGTTATGTTGAGGAATTAAAGCTCATCTTTGTTTATTGCTTCAAGTTTTCTCCACAGTGTTCAATTATGATAATTGCAAAAGACAGCATTTTCAAATTTCCCTGAATTTTACCTGACTGTTCAAAAAATGTATTCCCTGGCTGAACAAAAACAAAGAAACAACAAATTACTATATTCAACCTCCCATTAGATGTCCTAAAAATATTGAAAGTAATACTTTTTACCTTAAATTTTTTGTAAGAGAGTAACATCAAAAAAAAAAAACTGGTTAGTGAAATTCAAAGAATTCACTTCAACCCTTAATACTTTGACTGTCTCAAATGTCAAATTCATTTCACCATCACTTGAAAGTAGACTTTTCTTCACAAGCAGTTTCTAGACCAGAACAGAAAAACTCATCAAACTACAATCAGCACCAGTTTACTTTTGGATCAAACAATCAAAATTGTGTTGTGATGAAAAAAAAAACAGTCATGGATCCAAGTATACCACGTTACACTTCTAACTAGTCGTAAACTGACTAGTATCAACAGTGAAATACTGACTGCTACAGTCAAACTGCCTCTTGAGATGATATGGAACTTACATTGAGTTAATTACCAATTCAAGCAAAGTTATTAACAAGATATGCAATACGTAGCATAAAAATTGAGCTTGTTTCAATTTTGGAGAATTTTGAAGAGGCCCTGAGTAACAGAAATAAGTGCACCTCAAAATGAGTACTACACAAGAATCTAATGCCATTTTAATAGACCAGTCATTATTTAACACTTGGGCTAAGAAAGAGGATTTTAGGGGAGGGAGGGGGGGAAATTCACATAGTTTTCAGAGGGAAAAGAGGGTGGGGAGTCAGTCATTACCAAAAGAGTTTAAGGGAGTGAATTGTGGATTAAGGAATGAATATGATTTAATAAATTGTCATAGTAGTGAACAATACTTAAGCTGACCTTAATTTCACTACTGTTTAAGTAGTATTCATTACTGCAAAGATTGCTTTCAAATTCATTAATTTTTATTAATCTGAAGTTGATTTCCATATATTCACAGCCATTTAGTGGTTATGCTCACAGGAGAAATTAGATGCTCGTCACTTTAACCTTAAAAGGCTAGAGAAAGATAACCAGAAAAAGCAATGTTATGAACTAGATCAACTGGAGGTGCTATTTGGATTTGACACCAAATCATGACTGATTTAACCCTTTACACCCTAACATCAGTATGCATATTCTCAATAAGTTCTCTGTACATATCCTAAGAGGCTGACGAGGAGAATTTGATCAACAATCATGACCTTCTTTAGCTGGTGATCATTTTTTAATCTTATGACCTTAATATTTGATTCAGGGGTGATACTGTAAGAAGAAATGAAATACTGGTCACTCTTAGGAGGTTAATCGGAATAGAGAACACCCAGGAGAGAGTCCAACTGTTAATATAAAATCCTGAGAGTAAAAATTCTGTGGTTACGTACACATTTTACAGACAAACAGTTTTTGTTTAATGCTTAGTAGTTATTGGATAAGGTTGAGCATGATATCATGAATTATCAAGACCAAGGTCAGAGTTATCTGCCAAAGTCAAAGGCAGAGGCAGCTGATAATGTAGACACAAGGTGAATAGATAGTTCACAATATCATGTGAAAACTGAATTCAATAATTATTCAGTTTTATTATAGATTGTTTTTCAAACAATCTTCCAATGCAGGCACTTCTCTTTGAGTTTGTAAAAGTTGGAAAACACTACATAGACAAGAGGCTTGGAAACAAGGTAAACTTTGAACTCAACATGATAACTGCATCCTCAACTGAACTGATTAATTGCTTGAAACTAGCCTTGAAATGAACACCAAAAAAAAGAAATGTAGTGCCTTTAATCTCTTAAATAAAATTTTATGTCCTGAAAAAAATTCAATTTCCTTAACTGAAGTTTTTCACCAAGTTGAGTTGAAATGAAATGGTTTACCTGAAAGTACACTTTAACGTACCACTCTAACTCTCTCTGGAAAGCTAGTAGTGGTAACTGCTCTTACTGAAATTTGTGACAAGCTGGTGGTAACTGCTCTTACTGAAGTATGCGACAAGCAGGTGATAACTGCTCTAACTGAAATATGTAACAAGCTGGTGGTAACTGCTCTGACTGAAGTATGCCTTACTTTCATCTACTCCTTAACCTGTTGCATCCTTGCATTGCATAACTTCCACATTACTTCATAAAAGTAAATTGGTCCAACCGACTTTCTAGCTTCTTGAATCAGCAAAATCAAATCTGAACTCATTATCAGATGTTTGAAACTTCCAGACATTGTTTGAAGGAATCTCTTCTTTGTCTGTGGCTTTCTGTAATTAAAAATGATAATAATAATAATTACAATAACTATTAAATAAATCAACCACTGAAACTTAAATGAAAAAAGAAAAAATAAAGATTTCAGTCTAGTTCAGCTCACAAGGGAAAGTTGACTCTTTAAATCTCTGATCAAATATATAATTCTCCTCATTGACAACCATACAATTTTTGTAATGTTAGTTCAGAGAGTTTAGCATTGGATCAACTAATTATCCCCAAATTGATACTTTTCTTTATTCTCATCACTTATGTGGTTGATACTGTGTTAATATTGTTAGGAGAAATTCTGTCTTGGTCACTCATGGGACTTAAAGGGTTAATTTTAAAATACATAGTTTATTGACTTGAAGTGCTTTCAGTTAAATTAGAATTCATGTAATTAATTCACATTCTGGTCTCTACCCTAATTTAACCCTTTAAGTCCAAACATCAGTATGCATATTCTCCATACTGTTCTCTATACATTAGCTAGGGTCTAACAAGGAGAATTTGTTTGGAAAATCAAGAGCTTCTTTAGTGAGTGGTCATTTCCTGTTTATTCATTCAACTTAAATGTTTGATTTTGTAGTAAGATTTTTAAAAGAAATTAGAAGCTAATCGCTCTTAGGCATTAAGGGTTAACAGCCACTGACCTCCTTATCTGAATCTTTGCATTTTGTCTGACAAACTTTGACAAAAATGCTTTTTTGTTCTTCCCTGTTAATGGTAGTCAGTCTTGGATTCACAGATGGTTCTAGATATTTGAAGAAAAAAAAAGAAGCCTACTGTAATTATAAGCTTTCTCATCTGTGTTTCTTAGTGTCAACTGATTTTCAATTTTTCAGGAAAATGAATATCAAATTACATTTTTTCTCCTGTGTTATAAAACATATTCTAAATTAGGAACACAGATTTCATTTCCTGATTCCTGATTCCAGAACAACCCAATGACAACTGAATTTTCAAGTGTGGAAATGACTCAACTGGTCATAGATATTAAATACTCTTTAACTTTTCAAGGTCACCTTGTTTTTCCCTTCTTCTGTCTTCTTCCATCTTCTTTCTGTAGTCTCCAAACAGTGAAAACATCAGTTGTCGTTTTCTTGGCTGAGAACAATATATTTTTCAATCAAAAGTTTTTTACATTAAACCAAAGGCAAACCAGAAGGGTAAAGAAGATAATTTGACTATTTATTCAATATTTATACTGTTAGCACAAGTGTTATAACATTTAGTTATCAAAAACCCATAATAGCATTAACAAAATAACTCTGCATAAAAAAGAAGTGCAAAGTTCCCCTGCAATATAAATGGTTCTAACTTACCATGGGTGTTTTGGAAGACTTTAAAGATCGTAAATGACGGTTTACAATTTCGGCTGTAACATAAAGCAATTAAGCATATAATCAAAAAAGCAATCCACTGAAGGTAATGAGACAGTTAGAATAAGTTGTAAAAAATAAAGGGAGGCATTAAGGTCATGAATAATTCAAAATCAACTTAAGGTATATAATTATACAGGCTACAAACCAAATAGGAAAACAACTTTCTTCTGCCATCTTGGAAATTTTAAGGTGAGCCTTAACAAAATTAAATTTTTCTTTCTAATTTTATGTGGATATTAGAGGGGGCTGGTAAAGATCAGGCAACTGGGGATCAGTGTTGATTGTCATAGCCTGCAGTATGTGGTATTCATCGAATCTGGGTGATAATTCAGTGGACAAATAAGAATTACTGTTTGGCCTACACCCTAACATCAGTATGCATATTCTCCATACTGTTCTCTATACATTTCCAGAGGTGGTGACAAGGAGAATTTGTTAAAAAATCAGGAGCTTCTTTAGTTGGTGATCATTCTTTTATTCTTATGACCTTAATGAAACATTGAGAGGTGATATTCTAAGGAGAAATTAGATGCTAATCACTCTCAGGGGTTAAAGGGTTAGACATAGACCTCTACTCTTCTCAAAAAGCCCTTCATGTGGAAGCCATGGAAACTCATAAGCCCCCTGAGGGATACCCTGGTAAACTGATTTTTGAGCTTCTTGGTGTCAACTTTTGCGATATATTTTTATCATGACATTATTAACATAAAAAAAACTATCAATTTTTTTTTCATTTTACTCCCACTATCTACCAATGCAGGCTCTATTTCCTCTCCCCTACTCCTCCCACCCTACATGTCCCTATTCCCCCTCCACTGCCTCCCCTCCCCCTTTATTGAGAAATACGATTATGATCTCAGAGCAAATAATGAAAGATGGGGTATCTACACAAGCAACCAAGTTATAATTGGTACGGGTATATCATGTTCGTTCCTGTATTATTGGTTATCTAGCAGGCACTAGAGCTTCAAACCAATCACAGAGCGTGGAAAAGCAAAATATTATTTTTGACTTTCAAAATCAATTGCTCTGTTATTAGTAGCGAAAAAAAATTACCGTGTTTCTTGTCAGTCTTCTGAAAAGCAAGGCCCATCTCAAGCTGTTCAATACACCAGTTCAGCTCTCGATGAAACTTGTCCTCTGCTGACTTCAAAGTAACATTAAAAATCCATCAATTAAACTTATTTCAAAAATTTTGTCAGTTTTTATTGTATTTACCTCGAAGTTTTCTTGGGTTTCCCTTTCATCGTGTTTCTCACTTCCTTCGACAGACTCCTAAAATATGCATTAAAAAAGATTAAATTGAGAACATTCTCCGTACATTTCCAAACGAACGTAACAGCAGATACCTTAAGACTTTGCTCCTGCTTTTTACGTTTGGCAGCCTCCTTCTTTTTCTTATTTTTACGCTGTTTTGCAGTGAGTTCTTTCGATGCTTCTCCATCCGCCATATTGGATCTTCTTTTCTTTCTCAACCAATCAAATCGAATAACCTTGAAAAGTTTCAACCAATGAAAAGATGAAAATGTAGCCAATCAAATTACTCGGAACTGCAAGGAAGGCGCGCGTTAGCGGAAGCTCAACGGTTTGTTTATAAACAATTAACCCCGGTGGCTTCCGTTATGGATGTGGAAATGCCTGCTCGCTATTTCTTCAGCGAAGTGGTTGATTGTTACCATGATTTCGACGGGGAATGCGAAGACTGTGGTCTGATAGTCCCAGAGTGGTCGTTATTACAATGTCAATATGGCTTCTGCGGGAAATTTTTCTGTCAAAATTGTGGATTTCGTTGTCGCAGATGTGGCGATTACGAATCCCGCGCAGTTTCCCTTTGTTCCTCTCACGCTAGACTCGTTTATCCTTCTTGTGACGGGTGTAAGAACCAATTCTGCGATGTCTGTACGGACATATCCGTTACCCAGGTAAGTCGAAAGAACGTTTTATGATTAAATACAGTGACGTGGCGGATTACGGTATAATAAATTTGTACAATGTTCTTCGTTTCTCGTGTACATCGCTGAGTCTTGTAACCAACAACAACACCGGCTTTTTAGTTGTACGAACACTGAAGCAGAGATCTTTCGCATTACCGCCGGTAACGTTAAATTTTGATTTCGTTAAAGGGTTAGCTGTTCCCGAGAATCACACTTTTTAGCTTAATTCATTCATAATTTAACAATCTTTTGATCGATCTTTCAACCTGCCTCGTCTCTGTAATTACAACTTTGTACTCGTATTGTGCTGAAATTCTTGCAACTGTTTACTGTTGCAGGTCTAAAATTTTTAGCCGCGCTAAGAAAGCCGTAGCTAATACAGTTTTAAGGTATCACCTAGAATCAATTTTACAGAACATTCAAACTGAGAAACGAAATTTTATAGTAACTAGTGGTAATTTTTTGATAGAGTGGAAAGGCGAAAGAGGCTAGAAGTGTTTCCTCTGGCAAGAAAATTGTATTTCATTTCAAAACCATATTCCTTGTGTTTCAGTGTAATTCCTGTCTGAAGCATTTCTGCTCCAAGTGTCAAATCCAAGGGAACGAGAACATAACCAAGAGTGGAAAATGTGACCAGTGCGACATGAAAATACTTCGCCCCTTACAAGAAATTTGTCGCAGCCAAATACGTCATGTCATCAGAGGAGCTATCACAACTGGCAGATCTCCTGTTCACTCGCTGCAGTCAAAGGACATTGACCAGAATGTTCAACAGCTTCCTCTCCCAGGACATGTGAAGAACTTTGTATGCTACAAATAATTGGACTGACCCTTAATACCCATGTGAAAATAATGGGGACGATTGGAAGTATTGTTACCTAGATCTAGCCCCAAATTCGTGTAACTTATTTACAAGGAAATCTGTAGGAGTTAGAGGGGAGAATTAATAATTGGATCTTGGGAGTTAAAGGGTTAAGGCACTGTTCTTAATGTGTGACAGGAAGGATCAGTATCCCAAAGGATCTGCATGAATTTATTATCAGTAAACAAATAATTTTGGGAAAAAAAAGGAATGTTAATGGTGTAATTAAATCTTATCTTAAGAAGACCAGTTAGTTAAATATTTCACAGGTACTTTAATTGAAAATATAAAATAAGTGAACTAGTGTAAAAAGGTTGTTTTTTAGTGTAGAGGAAACTTGAAATTTGTAAGAGGGAATTTGGAAATCTTACTGAAGAGGAAGCATATAGAATTTTTAAGTATTATAGATTTTGCAAAGAATGATGAATTTTACCTTCCACAAATACTAACTTTCTATTTCCAGGAAAAGTAATAAAATAATATGCTAACTTTGTAGTGTAAGATAACAAAGATAACTGTAAATGTTTTAACAAATGGTGGAATTGTTGGATTTCTTTCATCACTACTGGTTATAAATAGATGTCACAAAATAGAAGGAATTGTGTTAAGTTTGATGCAAGCACAAAATAAAGAAACTCAAAGGGTTTGTTTTCCTCAAATAAGATGCAAAAATGTAAAGAATGTTTGCCTTTACCCTTTGATTCCATAGATTGACCAGTGTCTAATTTCTCCCCACATTATCACCCTGAATCAAACAGGTTACAAGAATAGAGGAAAAGATCACCAACTAAAGACACTCTTGTGTCAGCACCATAGGAAATGTATGAAGAACAGTATGGAGATTATGCACAAGTTGATATTGGGGTGTAGAGGGTTGAAAATCTCTGATAAAAAATCAAGGGCATGGTAAGCTGTCAATTATTGACTCAGTGTAACTGAGGAGTCATTCTGGTCCTTGTACTTTTTTCATTTCAATGTTCCATTTGTTGTGTTACAATGAAATAAAAATATGGAGAAAATGCTATGCATAAATTTTGGCCTTTATTTAATTTTATAAAAAAACTTTTACAACTTGTAATTTTAATAACAGAATATTCTAATTCCTAATGTAAGTAAAAATGTTCTTTTAACAAAAACTAATTATTAAAATAAGCATCTTTAACACCTATGTTTTTGCATTTGGTTTAATTCATTTCTTTTTTCCTTTTCCTATTGAAATTTTGTCTCTGCATCACAAACATAAAATTTGAAAATGGTTGTATTACCAAACTACAACCAAGCCTAAAATTTCCAAAAATTAGATAGATGCAATTTTTAATTCTACCTCTTTAAAAATTGTTATTACTACTCATGCAAATTTATGTAGGAAACATCTTTTTCTGCATGAATCCTCTCTACTCTTCCTATAAAAATAAACTGCGAAAATCCATCAATTTCTTAAGTTAATCTAAAATTTTATTTTGTACATGGAAAATTTAATATTTCTTACATCTGTAATCCTTTTCTCCCAGTCACTAAATTCATTAATTAATTTATTCATTCATCCCTCCATTCACAGCATAAAAAAGTAATTACTTTCCAGGAAAAAAAAAAAAAATTATGGTACAAATGGTGAGGAATATTTTCCTAATTAAAGTGTTATAAAAATTAAATCCCAGCAGATTGTCTAATTTTACATCCAGCAAATAGTACTTTTAGTTTCAGCCAAGGTTTTCTAAACAGTGCTCCATGTATTCATGGGTTAAATTGTAACGTGTTATCATTCCCACAAGCTGAAATAGGAAAATATCAATATGAATAAGAATCTTCAATACACACTGACTCAAAATCTGTAGAGATGGTAACTTGTTGACTACACAATTAAAGTCACAAACTTTGCCCCTATCAATGGCCAGTTTATAGTCAATGGACAGTTTATAATTATTGAATGCATTATGTGATCAAGCATAACATGCTTCCCCTCATGAATGGAATTTTAGTCTACACAGGGCATCCAGATGCATACTTAGCTCATTCACACTTCATATTGCAAGGTGAAAAAAGTCAATGCAAGACTTGCCTCCATGAAACTCACAAAACAATGTAAACAAAAATCCTCTGTCGTATATTTTGGGAATGTTCTCTATATTGAGACTGCTCCCATTGAAGGTTAGAGAAATCAGGGCACATGAAGAAACCAAAAAGTTACAGCCAATGTCAATCACAGACCAGTAAACTCTTAATTCTCGGATTGGCTCCTTGTTGGTATAATAACATTCAAATTTTCAGTTAACCCTTTCACTCCCAAGATCTCAATAGTAATTCTCTATTCTACCTGACAGACAATTCTTCCATAATGTTACTTTGGAGAATTTGGTATTAGATCAAATAATAATCCCCTGATAAGTATTTTTCTTGATTCTCATCACTTGTCTTCTTCATACTGTACCAATACTGTAAGGAGAAATTTTGTCTTGGTCACTCATGGAAGTTGAAGTGTTCATAGTCAGAGCTTTACAGAAGGCAAGTGCATCACTGAGACAATAGAATGAGCTCACACCTAGACAAGAGCCCCAGACACTACATGTGCATAGCTTGTCCTTGTGCAAGACTTACCTGCCCTTTAGTGTTAACCACGATCAAATGTCGCAGCCCCATTGTCCTAAATAGATTGAAGACCAGTGGCACAGGGGTCCAAGGAAATACCATATATGGGCAAGGGTTCATATAGGGTGTTACATCCTGAAAGAAACAAAATGGTGCCAAAAAACTGGGAATGATGGAACACTTATCAATAACCCCTTTTACGCCAATTAAGTGTTAAGTATAACTTCTCTGCACTTTTCCCAAACATCACTTGAAATACTAACCCTGAGATGTTGGCATTACATTCACCTATTTTCCCTAGTTAATGTTTTTCTGCCTTCTTATCGCCTTTCTGTTTCAAAATGTGTCAATACTGTAATGAGAAATTCCCTCTTTATCACTCACATGATTGATATTTTTAAGATACATCTTGACACAATCAACCGTCTTCCCTATAAAGAAACACACTTTGCAGCAATATAATCTGAGTATGAGTTTGCTCACCATAATTTTCTGTTGATCTTCAAATTCAACTGGCACGTCATGAATGTCAGGAAACCGAGGATAGTCTTCAGTCATACTTTCAAAATTAAGGTCACGTCTCTTGGGTGTCTGAAATATCAACAATGTCAAGTGACGTACAATATAAATTAACAGGTGTTTATTAATTTCCAGTCATAATAGCTGAGCATTAATAAGTACTTTTGGTTGCTCAAAACAAGGTCATTCTTTCTTTGTGTAAATCTAGTAAATGCTTCCTCTTGTCTTCTCTTTTTCTCCCTTTATTTCAATTTCCCTTGGTTCCTCATCTTTCAATCTTTTGTTGGTTTATACCATCTGACCAGCAATTTAACATCAATTTAATTTGTAAAATTAATGCTTTTCTAAATTATCACTCCCCTCACTCCAAGAATTCTGTGCAGCACACTAATATCTATTTCTCCTTCTTTCACTGATTTTTTTTACTTGCCCTGCTCATAGTCTATTGCTATGTTTGTTGCTCCTGACTCAGTAAAACTTCTTACAATGAGTGTACTTGACTACAATATCACTGGCAACTGTGGGCTTTACCTGTGTATTCTCAGTGTAGAATACTCTCTCTTTTAGAAGAGTTACCAGCTGTGACCTGAGAATGAGCCCATGAAATGTCAATGCCTGGGGCTCCTCCCAGTCTGTCAAAACAGGGACTGATACAGTACTAAAATTTGGGTTAATTGCACCACTAGGGACATCTGCAATGACAGTCATAATAATAAAATTGTATATATATAATTATATATATACCTGAATTTTCATTTTAAAGTTTTATTAGAAAGGCTTTTACTGGCAAATGCAGCTGTTATGTAGAATTTACCGTCAGTAGATAAAACATCACACAGGTATTATTGAACAGTTGCAGCACAGTCTGCTCTCTGGATATGTGTAGAGATTCAAGTTTGGGACAGGAAAATCCCAACTGCATTTCCACAAGCAAATTTTTTTGGCAACTTCTCCCTTGCAAAGTTGTCCATGGAAGTGTAGATATTAATAAAAGTATGACAAGTCCACCTGGTAAAAAAACTTATCCAAAAACAAGCATACCCATTACTGAACAATTAAGGTGCTGGTGGACTTACCAACACCATGATCAGCCATCAATCTCCCTTGAACTGTAAAGTTGTCTTCATTAACAGGATAGGACATCCCAGGAGCAGAAGTTGTGACCTTCAAATCATCCTGATGGCTCTCACTTTTAATTTTTCTCCTCTTATTCTTTACACCCTCAATTCTTGGATGATGTTCAGACTCAGCTCTATTCCTTTGCAGCACACTACTCTCTCCATGACTTGTTAAATGTCGTCGCAGTTTTTGCTCGCTTGTCAAACTTGAAAAGGTGGTTGTGCGAGCAAATAATTCATTTGATGAATCAACTCTGTATTCAAAATCATTCCCTTGTGGTAACCTTTGAGTGTTTTTGTCAATGGTCACCACTGGGAAAGCATTGTGGGCTGTTGTCTTCAGAATCCCAATGATGGAGTGAACTCTCGTGTGAGGGTAGATGTAGGACAGACAGGACTCCATGATGTCTGAGGCTTTCAATCTGGTGAAAATATTTAAACAACTTTCTGCGATAAGACTTAGAGAAAATGGAAATTCCAGTTAATAAGTAATGGACTCAAACCCATGATCTTTTCCACTTACACAATGCTTAGGCTACTGGGTCATTCTGCCACAAAAATACATCAACTCTGTTAAATACGTCAACTGCAAACGTGTTCTTTTTAAGGGTAATACAGTTAACTGCTGTTAAATTGAACCCTAATCACTGTTCAAAGGGGAAAAGGTTATAAGCTCTTAAGAAGTTCAAGTTATCAAGATCTGTAGGCACTAGCCTTAGATGTCACTGCACATTCTCATTAGCAGGAGTCAACTGCATGTTTACTTCTGTGTCTAATATGTATGGTAGAACAAGCTGAGGTGTAACTGTTGCAATTTCTCGCAGTACACAAAATCTAACAGAAACCTCTCCCAACAGACAAAACTTTAAACAATTATTTATTTGTAGCTCATTATAGGAATCGATTTTTGTGCAAAATCCAAATGATATCCCATTACCTGACTACTTACTGAAGAAAGCTTCCCTAGGCTTTTTCCACAAAAAAATTGTGCTTTCTTTCTTTAATATTTTATAGTACCGGTAATCATAATTTATCTTCAATTTTACTTCTATTTAATAATCTCTGGCTGTCGTTCACCAATGATTGTGACTCATCATAAACCCTTACCTGTACATTTCCTGAGGAGCTGTCCATTCAAGTAAAGGAACACTCTTTAATTGAATGTGAATGTCATATAGGCCTTCATTGAACAAATCTCCCGACCATTTTGCTACCTGAAGAAACACACACATACAAGGTGAAAAACGATTTGATCAGAACATATCTTAAAGTTTGATTGAGACTGCATGAGCTATCCACTCATTTTTAATGAGCAATATTAACTGAACACACATGAAAATATGTTTTAGGTGATGATGTTTGAGATCTGTTTGAATGATGAAAGCTTAGAGAAGAACTCTTTCTGTCTATTTATTTGGTGTTTAGAATACTGGTACTCACAATATCTCTGGTAAGCACCATGAGATTACATGTTCTGGGCCTGGTTCTTCAAAGCACAACAAGGCTAATCAATGGTGAATCAACTATTTTTGTTAAGTTTTGTTTTATAAGTATTGCCAACAATTTAACAGTTTAAATGTTTTCCTTCAATTTCATTTTATGCTAAGGTAAAACAACTCAGCCTTTAATATAATTACCTTTATTTCAAGAGAAATCAAGGTCAAGTAGCTTTTAATCCTGTATTTCCTGAACTATTCATTTTATTATTGCCTTTCAAACATCCAGGCTTTTGAGTGTTGTATTTGAAATATATGAGGAATACAACATCACATCCTCAGCAATGACTTGTCTACAAATATTTTATCATGGTGTCCCTAACTAGCACAGAGGTACTAAATGCTCTCAAGAAGGTAAAACCTGATATAAAATAACACATAAGAAGGAAAAAGAATTCCTACAACACCATGAGTGTAATCATAATGGGCAGACCATAACTGATCTCATTGGTTGATTCTATCAGGATGACAGTTAAGCTGATGGTCATGCGCACGACTCCACCCAAAAAAGATGCTGCTCCAATCAGCGCAAATGTTCCATGGTAAGTGTGCTCATATCCCAGTAGCCTGGCTCAATAAAAAAACAAAACCAAAAATACAATTGAATATCTGAATGAAATATTAAATCCCTCTTGAGTATTTATCCAAACTGGCTTTTACACTCTGGATGAGTGGTTATAAAGGAATTTCATTTTGATACTAAAACAGGATAAGTTTGTACTCAAGTTAGTTAACCCTTTGACTCCAAGAAGTGATTACCAAGTAACTCCACCCTGCAATCTCCGTGCACTATCCAGCAAATGGGTAATGAGAATACTCAAATGTATCAGGTAGAAGTTGTTATCTTGATCTGACACCAAATTCTTGCAACTTACTTAAAAGGAAATGTGTAGTAGGTAGAGGGGAGAATTAACAATTCGATCTTGGGAGTTAAAGGATTAAGTGGCCCATCCAGCCCATACTTATCCCTGGTTTCTGTTGCACGAAGTGACAAGGAGTATTGCTACTCCCCCCTGAATGGGATGCAGTCCATCACAAGTTACCCTGCCCCTCCCATTGGCCACAAAGACGATAAAAACCAAGATTAGTTCCAGACTAAGGTTGTTTTTTACCTGCAGAGCTCACCGATAAACCTGCCGTAAGCTGCACCACACAGCAAACAAGGAACAAAAAGACCACTAGGAACACTTGCTCCATAAGTCCAACATGCCAGAAAGTAGAAACAAATAAAAAAAATTCCTAGAGATGTCAAACTGAAGGCACCTGATGAAGAAAAAAAGAAAGACATTTTCAGGTTACAATTTGATGAGCAGTATGCTCGTAGTTAGGGTGATAAATTATTGCCAGTATATGCTTGTTCAAGTAGCAAGAAACATAGTCAGGGTTATTCAGGGATGATTTTCATTTGTTACACTCTTAAATCCTAACATCACTATGCAAGTTCTCTATTCTGTTCTCTATACAGTTCCTATCATAATGGTAATTACAAGGAGAGTTTGTCTTACTAACAATCAAAAGCTTTTGGGGTAGACAGTTATTTCCTTATTTCCTCTTCTTGCACTTAATATTTGATTCAGGGGTGAGACTGCTGGGGGAAATTAGAGGCTAGTCACTCTTAGGGATAAAATGGTTAAATAAAACGTAAACCATAGAAATCACATTATCTAATTCTCCCAGCTGTAAAAGAAACCATACAAAAAGTAAGTGCTAACTGTGCTTTAAGATTCCATGTAAAGAGTAAAATAATGTAGCTGTTTGAATGGTGGAAAATTCTTCAATGACGCAAATTAAACATACTGTACACATCTTATTCAGTTGGCTGCACAGAATTCAACTCAAATGGCAGGAGCCACAATGAACAGTTCTCAAACAGCTACAGCTCTAATTATTGCAAAAAATCACTACTGACTCCTCTGAATTCTTTGTTGTGTTAAGCACTTGATGATTGTCCTGAAAACAAATTACCTAGAGAGGGCAAAAAATATGCAACAAAAAAATAGCTCTTACCATCCAGGTGAAAAAGGTGCCGTATTGCTGATTCCTGGGAGGTGAAGAACAATGTTGCCATGTCATTGTACTGTCCTTCTTGACAAAAATAGGATATAGTGTTATTTGCAGATGAGACACTACCCTGTAGAAAAAACCAAAAACAAAAAGGTCACGCATCATTAACCCTTTAACTCTCATGAGTGACCAAGACAGAATTTCTCCCTACAATATCAGTACAATATCAAGCAGAAAAATATCAATTAGGGGATTATTAGGTTATCTAATACCAAATTCTCCAAACCAACATCACAAGAACTGTATGGCAGATTGTGAAGAGAATTACTACATGAGATCTTGGGAGTTAAAGGTTTATTAAGTAAGACCTTTCACCCCAATGATGTATCATTGTTTGAAGTAATTTCTCCAAGTAATATAATGAGAATTAACAAAAATATCAGCAGGAATATATTGTGTGATTTTATGCTTAATTTTCTCAACTGATATCATGAAAAGTGTTTCAGTGCAACCTGAATTGATATAATTGAGATTTTGGAAGTGATAATAATTACTAGGTTGAATAAAAAATACAAAATTAAATATAATAATATATTTCAAGCTAAAACATCTCCCAAAAAAAAAAAAAAAAAATACTCATAGTGCTTCATTAAAGGTTTTGCATGATATCATGGAAGTATACAATTATCCTTTAACTAGAGGTTAAACCTAGTTCCAGGTTGGCACAGTGAGTTAAGTCCAATTTTTTTCCACTTAAATTTATGGTCCAGGCCCCAGTTGTTCAAAGGTTGGATAACACATCACTTATTCGCCAGATAGCGATTTATCAGTTGGATAGCATTATCTGCCCTTTACACAACTGAGCCCTGGTGTAAGGCACAGCACAGGCATAAATTGGTGCACAGCCATAACTCACTCAAAGGACCAAGAAGACAAAGTTAGCAAAATATTTCTTATAATTCACCATTTAATAAAATGGAGGGAGAAGACTTCAGTTTGAAAAAGTTTTGAATTGAGCAGACTGTACAGTGAAATACAGCATTTTAAATTGACCAATCAAAGCGCACATACTAAATGAGAGATATAGAAAGAAATTAACATTTTAGCCTTACCGATGGAAGTGTTTTACAACGTGCAAGATAAATTGGACCAAAGAATGCTACTGATGTGGTGATCAAACCAACCAGGACTGCTTCAAGAATCCTGAAAGGTAACAAATCTTTTCTTCTTATAAAATGAATAGCAGGATGTTGATGGGAAAAGCTCTAACTGACTTAATTCTACTGGAATGATCCCCTGTAAAATGTGACTGGGCATGACTGAGGCATCAGAATAAAAACAATGATGAGGAAGATGAAAAGTGTCACGAGAAAGAGGATAAATATAAGTATGAAAGAGGTAACTGGATGGAAATGTAAAAACAATTTAAAGTAATCATTGAGGATGAAGATGTCTGAGTCTCAGAAGTATGAGGAAGCAGAGGAGGAAAATGCTTCACAGACAAATTCAAATTCAAATGTACCTGAGCATTTTCAATAAGTATTTAACCCTTCACACCCATTAAAGGATGTTGTGCAAAATTTTTTGAAAACTATTTTATTTTTAACAGTTCTGTCCACAATCGAACTATGAGGCAAATGAAGATTTACACTTGCCAAGGGTTAGAACTGACTTAGCTAAAAACTCGACTTTTTATTATAATATGGATCATTCTGTAATTTTTAATAAGCTAAATTTTTAATGTTTTAAGATTTTATTCATCTTTATTGTAACTGTATGAAGCACATATTTTATGATTAACTTAACTTTTCCGAGAGTTTACCTGTAGAAGTAGTATTTTAGCATGATTGTGAAGTTCTTATCATAATTTTCATTTTTATGTGGGCCCCAATTGATAGCAGTGTTTAAGGCATCTGAATGGGCTACCCTCCTCCTCCTCCTCCTCCTCCTCCTCCTCCTCCTCCTCCTCCTCCTTTTCTTCTTCTAATTTCCTTTATTCTTGTGGCCTTAATGTGCAATTTGGGGTTGATATTATTGTAAGGATCAGAAATTAGATGCTGAATGCACTCTTAGGAGTCAAAACATTAAAAGAGCTTAATTGCAACCTTACCTCACATGCTTGGATCGAGAATACACATGCAAAATGCGATGCACTGTGAGATGCTTGTTCAACGCATTAAACCATGCTCCAAGGAGACCACCTACGAAACCCATGGCTATAAAGATCAGAACATCTTGTATGTTCCACAGATTACAGTTCTCTTCTCCATGACACTTTGAGTTAATTGAAATGCAGGAAAGAAAATTAATTCAATCAGTAATAATTATAATATTATTGTAAATCTTATAAAAGTTACTTACTTGCTAGTTAAAACTAGTATACAATTCAGACACTATTAATTTTGCTTTTATCTTAAAGTACAGTTAGTGAGGTCAAAAAGTATATCTCACTTTATTGCCATCTTTTGTACAACTGAGACAGGAAAGTTTTCACCTCCAATTCAACAAAAATGGATTTCAAAAGCTAATTTTAAGTAAATGGTATTAAAAATGATCACTCTAATCACTATGAACTGTAGTTTTATGAAAATTCCATGAATTTCATGTGAAAAACCCATGAAGATCATTTCATGGCCCATAAATACTGCAAAATGAAATTTCATGGGGTTATTTTTAGCCATGAATTAGGGGAATTTTTTTCACGACCCATGAATTTCTTCAAAGTCTATTTTTATGACCCATTGATTTGCCATGAAAGTCATCAGAATTAATTTCATGACCCATGAATTTCTTTATATGCCTACTTTCATGACCCATGAATTTCTTCAAAGTCTACTTTCATGACCCATTAGTTTCCCCAGAAAGTCATCAGAATGAATTTCATGCCCATGAATTGCAATCAAACAGCATTTCATGGGCTAACAATTTATTTGTTTTGGGAGAACAAAATTAATGGGCCATGAATATTCCCTGAAATCTGTTGCCCATGAATTTCATTGATAAATTCATAGGCCATTAAAAGTGGTAATAATGAGTTCATCACAGTCACTGATTTATCAACGAGCTGACTTTCATGATCCGTGGAACTAACTTGTTATAAATTTATGCACTGATGTAATTTTGGTGTACAGCGCGAAAACCGTCGAATGAAAATGTCCCTAAACATCTTAAGTGACCTTTGTTAACGTAAAATGTACAGGAAATCACAAAACAATGACTAAAAACAATGGATCTTCAATTTGCTCCTTTGTTGAGACAAATAGGGCTGGAGGCAATGACCCAGATGTTTGATCCTCACTTTGATTTTTTGGGGCCTTTTTGCCTTCGCCATGCCTGGACGACTTTGTTGAATTTTTTCTGCCTCACTGCTGGCTTTGATTGTTAGCCATGACTCTGGAAACCTGTTCAAGGCCTTCTTACATTCTTACGGCTGAGGAATCTTCTAGGGCTTTTCCAGTAAGGCACCTGCAGAGTACAGATGCTTAAGTTGCACAGCAATAGTACGCATTGCATCTACACGAAATGTGGAACAAAACAATGAAAAATCAATCACTTTGTCACCTCAATTTGGAACTTTGAATAGTGTGCAAATGTAACCTGAAAAAAATGCTATTTTTACCTCGTTCATAGAGTCGCCGGTTAACAGAGTCAGGCCATCTTCTCAGTCGGGATGAAACGTTACCTTCATGTATTCATTGAGATCGCCTTCTACAACATCGTTGTTGATTTCGTGATCGCTTTCACAGGAATCACTGTCGATGTCAGCTCTGACTTTCTTGGACTCTGATGTCCTGTCGATTGTTACTTGCTTCGAATTCCAAATACCGAACAGCTTTTTGTGCTGCTTTATTTTGTAAGATTACAGACACAGCAACGAGACCTCTTCGGAGTCATTTCGTAACGTCGAACACGATAACCTGTGAGGTCACTATGTGACCGCTGACCTATGATGGCTGCGATGACCTAAGGTCACCACGTGAAAGTACACGTGATTTACGAAGAAGTGGCGGTTTTTTTTACCCTCGAACGGAATGGTTCCATTCCAACTGCATTTCTCGTAGCGTTTGTGTAGCAGTCTCTTTTTTTTCCAGATCAACGCAATGCACCGTCTGAAAAGTTTTTTCAAAGAGGTTTCCTCAAGATGAAGTTATCGACATGTATTACAACGTGAAGGGGTAAGTTCAAGCTTGGTCATCTTATTACGCGTAAACATCGGAGCGCGCGCGCTAACTATTGATTTAACTTGAAAATTTTTATTCTGTGATCATCTGGCGAAAAATCACAAGAGTTTGTATGGAAATACCTACGACCGTTCTTAGGAATAAAAAATACAGTCAAATTCTGAATACGAAATACCTCACCTCACTTCCATAGTGCGTCGCTTAGTATCTGACGGCTTCATGTTGAAGAGAACCTGTTTTGGCGAGTTATCCATTTCTAGGTTTACTACGTACATAAGAAAGGCTCTTAGATAACTGATGATGTGCTCCCTTTATTTTGCAAACAGTGAAGAGTGTTGGTCTACAAAACTGATGAAAGGAAATGCACACTTGCTAAAGCAGCCTATCTTGGTCCAAACGATGATGAAGATACAAATAGTAATGATAACCGAAAGAAGGATGGCACATTCAGGTGGCCAAAACAGAGAGACACTGACATAGTCAGCCATAGATATATCTTCACACATGCAAGAGTGCAGAAAGTTGGTAATTGTTTTGTTGTTAGTTACCTTGAAAGTATTGATCACAAGTGTAAAACATATCAAGAAATTTACATGAATGCTGTTACATAAATAGACATTATAATAACTGTCCATAACATTTTACACATGATATTAGACGAAGGAAATGATATTTGAAGTTTAGACAAAAATACATCAAGCCAGTGAGTATATTTTCAATAATTTCGTCCAAATATTTTTCACATCAAATTTATTATATACCTTCAGAAATATAGGAGCAGAATCTGTCTCCACAAGGAAAATCAGTGATATCAAAATAGAGCTAAAAATCATTAACATCTTAATTTTATGCAGAAAATTTCATACCAACTTTTTTTATTTAAGAAAGTGTAAACTGAATTATCACAATTTTGGAATCCTAAAGTAATATTTATATACAGCTGGTGAAACAAAATAAACTATCAGAGAATCCAAACTTCTGGTCATGTCTTTCATGTGTGTGTGCTTGTACAACAGGACCAAGAAGTTTCACAGATAGGTTAGTTCTTCAGTGTATAATTTAAGTGATAGTGTATGTATTACAGTTATGGTATACTGCAAGCTATACACTGTAGTACAGTCTTTGGTACAAGAAAAGTGAAGAATTTTTAATTCCAAATTCATAGGGTTTTCAAAGAATTTTCATGGTGCTTGCATATTCCTAACAACCCCATGAAAACTAACTGGCAATTAACTTTCATGTGCCATGAAAAAACCATGTAGAGGCCATGAAAATTCAAGGAAAATTTTCATGGTCAATGAATTTTTAACATATTCACAGGATATTCATGGGTCATGATTTGCTGCAACCCATTAAAAACTAGTGAACTTTGACACCATGAAATTTTGGGCTTGAAATTCATGGGTTTCTCAGTACCATTGAAAAGGCCATGAAATGCCATTTTCATGGGTATTTCATGGCTTCTAGGTCACTTTACTCAATATTTCATGGGTCGTGAATATGGAAATTTTCACAGGTTTTTCATGGGATTTTTCAGGTCTTTTTCATGGCACTGAGACCATGAAAATGTCATTGATTTAACCATGAAAATCCTGTGAAAAATCTGTGAATTTACAATGAATTATTTCACAAGATTTTCATGGGTTTTGAGTTCATAGTGAATAGACTTATGGTCAGCATCAACAAGCCACTTCATCAAATATTGCGAAGACAAAATCAATAAGGATAATGATCTAGATGATCATTTTGGTTCTTTACATAAACGGCTGTTGCTTGGAAAAAGTTTTTTAATTTAACACCTTGCAAAATCAAATCAAAATCATAACTTTCAATGGGGATTAATAATAGGTACTCACACTAAAAACTCCAAAGTTTAGTAATCCTGGTTGATTAAAAGAGCCCCAGCCATAGCCATTTATACCAGATAAACAAAAGTTTAATGTGAATGTGGAAGCCATAGAGCAGAAGAACTAAACACAATTTTGAAAAAAAAAATTAGTGATACAACTTCCATCAAATAATTAAAAATGTTTCATAAAGTGTAATTTTGTGACAGCTGTTACTTTCTATCTCATATACAACCTATACCAATAGTAATCAATTAAGTTGTTATTTATGACAAGATATAAATTGTGATGTTTCAAATTCTCCACTCGGAAGAAAATATTCTGTGGCCAGAAAGGATGGCCTGATGATAATCAAGATTGCCTTATAATACCACAGTGTGGTCTTGGATTGATCCATGGCATGGTCATTGCACTTTCTTGCAATGTCCATCTCAGTTCAAGAGCATAATCAGAACTCATTTTAGGACCAAAAATATTGTCCTCATGATGGACCCCTGATAAAAATTAAAGTAGGATTTTATTAGCAAGGCAGTGGTATCTGATCAGGAGAACTCTGAAATTACATGGATGTGAACAGGCACTGACCATAATTAGCAACTAGGCTCTAACAAACAAACTTATCTCTAAAAGTTATAGATTGAATGCACAACAGGAAATATTTTATTTACACTTCTCCAGGTAAGCCCCTGGTTCCAAAATGAACTTCCTTCCTCCAGACTAAACAACACTCCACCGATGGGTGCACCAAATGCGGCTGGAGAGGAAAAAAATGAAAATAAACTATTACAAAGTTTCAAATAGTCTTATTGCTAAGCATTTAGTGAAAAGCAATTATATAAGAACGCTTTTGGAACAAATGAAAGTCATGCTTGATCTCAATTGGGAAAAAATTAAGTACACTTTAGTCTATGTCTTAGTCTGTGCATTCTCAAAGAAAATGATTAGTAAGAAAGTCTTTACCTGCCACTCCAGCAGCTGCTCCTCCAGATACAAAATCTCTCTTCTCTCTGAAAAAATAGTGAAGGCTGAATGCGCTTAGAAGAGATTTAATAATTTTAAAAAAGTGTGATTGATAAGTTTGCCCTGGCAGCTAATGACCAACACAACTGGTTGGATCTTATATCCTGCTTTCTGTAGCATGAAATGACTTTAGACAGGTATTGATACACCTCCTGGAGGGTTGCTTGTCCATGACAGTTTACACCTCAGCAGTGGTTCAATACAGTTTGGTACAAATGAATGGTTTAGAAAGCAGGGACTCCAAGGTAGTTCTGTTTGGTTGGAGGGCCTCCTCTAAATCCTAAGGAGGTCTGGGCTTCCTGAGGGAAACTCTGAAGTTCAGATTCTTGCAGTTGCATTTTCCTGTATTTTCCTGTATTTTGAGGTCTAGCTATACCAATTTATCTCTCACAGAAGCATTAGTTGTAAAAGCCTCAATGGCGTTTTGGACTGCATGGACAATATTTAAGAGAAATATAATTTTTTTTTAAATTTATAGAACGTTCATCCTTATCATCAATAACATTATTATCAAATAGTAAAAAAAAGTTGTCATGAATACCTATCTGTTCGGAAATAAGGGAAGTTGAATTTGATTTTACGAAATGCAATACTTTGGAACTGCAAATTAAGAAAAAAGAAACATTCTGTTTGCAAAAATGTTTTGAATATTTTCAAACCAGTTTGAGAATGGCTTTGAACACAGCTTAGTTAGACAATAGCCAAACTTTGTTCAAATAACTGGCCTTAGGAGTGACCAGCACCTACATGTACATCTTGGCCCAGTTGTAAAAAGGCGGATAATGCTATCCAACCGATAAATTACTTTCCAGCAGATAAGTGATAGCTAAACACATGGTGTTATCCACTGGATAGAGTTTTTAATCCAGTGGATAGCATTATCCAACCTCCGAACAACCAGGGCCTAGTTTCTCTGTGCATCACCTGAGGTATTCCAGCACCTATAATAGCACCACTGTGTATCATGGGTCCTTCTTTACCAACAAATAAACCTGAATTTTAGAACATTTAAAAACAAATTTATCAATAATAAATATACACAATTACATTGGTTTGATTAGGGACCCAACTCCAAGCAAATAAGTAGGAAAAGCTAAAAAGTGCTCAGCCTTGAATAAACACCCACCCAACCTCACTCTAGGAATTATATCTCACCTGGTTTTTTTTTAATTATTTTTGAAAAATAAGTATAATTACAAATTTAAAGTCCATTTTAAAATCAGTTTTTGACCTGGACCAGTGGTTTGTTTGTTGTCCATCTCACAGGATTGCTCATGTTGGATCATTTTTTTTTTTTTATTCCTTAACTTTTTTTAATATCTTTATATCTGTATATTTAAAACCTCTTTTCCTATGCATAGGCACCTTGCATGGATCTTTGTGTCCCATTGGTGCTTTTTTCCTTTTGGGCATTTATTCCCTACAGTTTTTTAATAATTCCTTCTCATCCTGTAAAAAGTATTATTTTATTTTCTACATTTTTATCACCCACTAATGAAAGAAAGATAAAACATCCCCCCCCTAAAAAAAAGGTTCAGGGTGCAAATTGTTTCTTCAGTGGCTGAAAATCTCTTACTTCAATGTCTATTCTAGATTTTCACATTTTGTTTTAAGTCTTTCTTTTGTTTTTGTTTTTGCTTTTGTTTTTTTTTTGTAAAATAAACTTACTTCTTGCTGAAAAAAGTACCTAGCTGCAAATAAGTGCCTGCCTAAAATGATTGCCTACTCTTAAGGTCCATGGTTTAATTAGCATTCCGCAGCACTAAACTGATTAAATTATATATGGTAAGTTATATATAATTATGTAGATAAGAAAACTTATCAAATAAAACTATCACACTTAGAGAAAGGAAACACTTTCAACAATCTTCATTGTGTGATTGTCCACAATCCAGGCTGGGCCTGGAACTCTTTAATTCTTCTCAACCTAAGAGGATGTGTAAAATCTGCAACTTACCTCCAGCAACACTAAACAGCACACCAACTGCCTTGCAAACAAGAGTTTTGAGCCGCACTACATGAGGAACCTACAATGTCAAGAAAAAGAAACATCTGAAAGAGGCCAAATTTTAGGCAGGGTTGGGAAAAGGGGGATATGAGATCAGAGCCCTAAACCAGATTTTTTTGTAGAAAGATAGACAAGTCGAACATGCTCCTACAAAAGCTTGAATAAATGTGGAACCCCAAGAGTGACTAGCATCAATTTCTCCTTACAATATCACCCCTGGATCACACATTAAGGTCATGAGAATAAAGGAAATGATCACCAATGAAAGAAGCTCTTGATTGGTGAACAAATTCTCCTTGTCAGCACCTTAAGACATGTGTAAAGAGCAGTATGTTTGGTTGTAAAGGGTAAACAAACCTTCACTCCATTTAAGTAACACTTGATTTCTGGAATTCCACTCCCAGCTGCTACTGGCTAAAAATGAGATCAAATTGATTCATCACATCTAATAAATAAATAGAAGAAAGAGTATGGAGAATTTGGATACTGATGTTAGGTGTAAAGGGTTAAACAACTGTAAAGGATTATGAAGTTAAAGACATGATTCTTTATTATTCTCTCATCCTGCTAGTAGGATGCGTAGGATCAGCAGTTTATTAAGCTTCCCTGACAATTCAATGGTACCCATTTACACTCCTTGTAGGAGAGAGGTGCTGTGGGAAGCCCTGTTATCAATCTTACCTGATTCCCCACCCCCACCTAGCAGTTTGTCAAACTTCCCTGAGTCCTTCCCTGACAGTTTTCCCATACCTATTAATTCTAGTGGGTGGAGAGGGGCAGTGTGGTCTGGAGCAATAAGAAAGTCTCACTTACAACTACTGGCTAATGGCTTTACCGTCCCACCTAAAAGTTGACTGAATCTGTTGCCTGAAACTGTCAAAAAACATCTATTGTCTCTCACAGCCAAACAGAATCATGCACACACAATCACGTTTATGATATAACAAATTAGAACGGCACATGTAGTTTCGTTGATTCCTTACCTCAATAACACACAGAATCCCAGCTATAAGACAAAATACCCCATTAAAAGCCATCAATATTAGTAGAGTAACAGCTAAGCAACCAGAAGGAGTGCACTCCTTAAGGGCTGATGTCCAAACAATAGTGAGGAACAACGTCAAGAATCATCATCGAAGGTAAATCCACTGCACTCTCTATTAATACTTCAAATCCACTCATGATAAAATGCCAATGAATATGTATACCTTAACTTAAATCTTAACTTACATCCATAAAGTGCTACTAACATTAGATTTCAAACAGTTGAGAGTAAAGTTCAAAATTTACCAACTTTCTTACTTACAAAAAGCAATTCTGTTTACTAAAAATGTAAACATCAAGTTCATACATGTATATTGAGTTACTAAGTTAGGAATTTTGGAGTTTGCTTCATGCATGTGGAGTTGAGAACCAAGACATTTTGACCCTATTGTCACAAAACTCTCAGCTAACATCTTTCTTTCTTGTACTTCTGCTTTTTTAAATATTATTATAAAATTTTTTAATTATAAAAATTAATTCATTTGTTTACTTAGTTTTTAGCAAATCTTTGGCCCTAAGAGCCCTGGTGCTACACCAAAAGATGGTTTTTAGACTGTTAAATAACATAGGGTATACAAAGTAAAAAAAGATACATTTGTCAATAGTATGAAATTTCCACTTTGTCAAAAGCGTCACAAAATAGTCAATAAAAACAGCCACCTACAATCAATTGGAACAAAAAATTAATGGATAGTAAAAAAATGGCAGATTGATGAAATTTCATTGGGCTGAGAGAATGTTCATAGATTTGATGATTTTTGGTACTTTCAATCAGTCAAATTTGTCAAAGCGAAATCAGCTTGGCTAAATTGATCATTTTGACCAATATTGGTCAAATTTGTCTAGCAAGTAAACTTAGTTTGACAGATTCAACGATTTTGACAAATTATGCCATGCATTTCTGAACATGTCTAGCTAGAACTTGAATCCAGACCTCTTGACTTAGAGTCCAGCACAGGGGAGTTTAGAGTTTAGCACTGGCTTTCTTTTTTTTTCAAATTAATCATTCTCAGTTTACTATTTTTGTCTTTTTGTTTTCTTTTTTTTTTTTTGTTTTTTTGCAGATCATTAATGGCAATTGCTTTTACTGTCATTAGATGCTGAATTCAATAAATGGAAAAGTCAATTAGGAATTCTTTCTCTTTTATGGTTTTCCTGAGTGATGTAGGACATTTTTTGAAAACTTTTCTAAGGATTTGCAGCTCTTACCAAGCCTGTCAAGATCCCAATAGCACCTGTCACCAACCATCTGACTACCTCTTGCCCCAAAAGTGACTGTTTTACAATTAGAAATGATAACAATTTGATTAAAAGCTGTGTGTTATCTACACATGACAGTGGAGAGGTAAGGGGGGAATGGTAACCAATGAGAATATGGATGGGAGGGGTATAAAAAGTGGTAGATGGGAAATGAGAGATGGGTGATAGGAAATGTAAAATGGGATATGGGAAATAGAATATGGGAGGTAGGAGATGGAAGATGGGAGATTGGAGATTGGAAATTAGAGATAAGAGATTGGAGATCTAAGATTGGAAATTGAAAATGGAAGTTAGGAGATAGAAAATGAGAGATGAAAAAGAGATGGGGAACAAAAAAGTAAACATATGTTCATCACTAAATCTAAAGTGTCTTGCAATAAGGGGCTAGAGACAGGAGTTCCGGAGGAATAAAGGGGAGTGTAAATGAGAAATTATTACCCTGTTGTCCTCCTCTTCTCATTAATGGGGTTCTAAATTATCTTCAGACTTACTACAGGTTTAGGATGAACCATTAAAAGGTTACAAGGAGAGAGAAGAATTCTAGAGACATATGAAATCAATTATAAAGTGTTTGTTTAGGATTATTAAAACAGGAGTGTCGAACAGCTTCACCTAATTTATCAAATGGTGTCTTCTGTATATTTACTGACTGATGGTATCAATACCTATCAATGACCCAACCCCTTTTTGCTATTAGCTGATACTCATACTATAATTTTTATAATGCAATTTCAATTGGTAATTACATGTATTAACTGAAGAAAAAAATCTCAATTGGTACTAACCTGCATTAACTCAACATTACAAACACTTGGAAAAGTAACACGGCTCATTCAGGCTTTTAATTCAGAATTATTCAACAATATTTTTACCTTTTTATCTCTGGATGCAAGCATTCTTGAAAATGGCTTGTTGTAGCAGACATCGTAATCTAGGCTCTGTAACGGAAAAATAATATTAAGTCTCAGACAGTCTAATAAATAAGTGACAAGATTCATTTATCAGTTGAAATGTAAATTGAATTGATAAATTTGCAATAACAGACAGGGATCTAGATGAATTTATAAAATGCAGTTAACCCTTTAACTTCCAGACCAAGTTTCTAATTCTCCTCACTGTCAACCATACAATTCTAACAATGTTAATTCAGAGAATTTAATATTGGATCAACTAATTATCCCCAAATAAATATTTTTCTTAATTCTCATCAATATCTGGTTGATATTGTATTGATATTGTAAGGAGAAATTCTGTCTTGGTCACTCATGGGAGTTAAAGGGACCATCCCTTTCAGTTTTTGAGACATGAATTGCTCAGTCTAGTTGCCATTTTTTATATTTGTGTAAATTACTCCATTGGCCTGTAAAACGTCTTTAAAAAAATAGGATTTTCATTCAAAAGTAATTAAGAAGAACAATTTTATTTGCAACTAAAATAATAATAATCTGATACTTGCTTTAATGAAAGAGGTCTTGAAAACATGTTTTAAAGCAAAAATTTGATAAGAAGAAAAAACAATGTTATTAAAGGATGGGCATTGATTATACCAAATTCTTAGAACTCAAATTATAAGAAATTTATTACAGACAGTGTTAAGAATTTATAGCTAGATCTTGGGAGTTAACCCTTTACACCCTAACATCAGTATTTATATTCTCCATACTGTCCTCTGTAAATTTACTAGCCAAGGGTGCTAAAAAGGAGAATTAAGTTATCTAATAATCAAGAGTTTCTTTAGTTGTTGATCATTTCCTTTATTCTCATGACCTTGATGTGTGATTCAGTGGTGATATTGTTAGGAGAAATTAGATACCAGTCACTCTTAGGGATTAAAGGGTTAATGGGTTAACTCTAATGCTATAGATACCTCATAGTCTTTCCTTGGAAGTTTTGATCCTGCTTGCAGATGTCTTCCAGCATTAAGCTCCATCTAATAGAGGAAATTTAATTCAGCCTCTTACTCAAAATCCCCACATTGTACTGATCTAGAGCAATTTCCAATAGCAAGTGGTCTTGGATTGCTTTGGTTTTGCTTTACTTCGTTCTTTGATTAGTCCAGGAAACTTGCACCACTCTCTCAATCAAATGCAAAACTAAAACCACTCCAACTTGGTCACTAACGTCTCCACATGCCTCAAGCTGGGTACTGGTTTTCAATTTGAGTTCTTATAGGTTAATGATGATGTTAACCTTCATTCTGATTTGTAGCTGTGATTACTTTCAATTGGTTTTGATTGTTAGACACTTGATTGAAAGATGGTCTATCCTGGTGATTATAGCAGGGGTGCTAAATTTCAAAATGGCTACCTCATACTTTTTCAGTGATACAAAAGAAGAAATAAACATGATAAAAAAAATTCAGTTCCAAAGTGTATTATACAAAAGATGCTTATATTAAGTATGGAGTTACTCTTCTCAAAACAAACTTTAAGATATCAGGTTTTTGCTTATTCAATTAACCCTTCACCTCCCAAGATCTGATTATCAATTCTCTCCTCTAGCTACAACACATTTCCTAGTAAAATTGATTATGTGAATTTGGTGTTCAATCAAGGTAATAAATTGTAGCTGATGAGTTTGAGTATTCTCACTACCTGTTTGCTACTATGATGTATGGATACTATAAGGAGAAGTTACATGTTAATCACTTCTGGGAGTTAAAGGGTTAAATAAACCTGTCAAATTCCATTGAGAATTGGGCTGTTGATCACAACATGTACAAGTAATCAAAACAATTGTAACAAAATGGTTTCAATATTAACCCAATTTACAACAAAATTTGTTTCTAAAACTGGACATCACTACCATTGTCATTAGTAGCTGGAAACTGATGCGGTATCAGCCCTCTGGAAAACACCAGACCCCCTCCCCTCCCCCCTCTCTTTTCCAACCTGGAGATGGGGAGGGGGAGGGGGACTTTTATGAATAAATTGAGGAGAGTACAAAAAGCCAGATAGTTTTCGGTCATGATCTGTGATAATATCCTTCTGTTTGTAGTTTAAGTGTGTTCCGTTCAGACAAAGACTATAGAGACTTTAAGTCCTAAGCGTCATATTAAACACGCTTTTGACACTATTTCTAGTTCCTTTATGTGGGTTCCGGCGCGCAAGGGAAAGACCTCAGAAGTAATCATCAGAATTTGGCTTCAGAGTGTTGCACATTGAATTGCATACCATATGGATGCCATCATTTCTAACTATGATGCAAAATTGTAGCTTGTAAATTTAGGAGAATTGTAGCCTGTAAATTTAGGAGAAATCCCTCACTTACCAGCTCCTGAGACCGATCAGGGGATTGATGGCGAAGTCTCTCTTGGTCCTCCATCAGCAATCAACAAGCGCTTTTTTCCACTTTCAAAGAGAGGCACTAAGATCAACGAGTCTCTTTTAAGCTCTTTGTTCACCAGAAACCTCAACTTATCGGTTTTCAGTGTATTTCCTCGCCATTTCGTCTCCGCGTACTACACCGTTCACAACTTTCGAACTTCCAAGTCGAAAGTAGACTGGAAACGAATGCTGCGACCGAGCTCCGATCATTTCCGCCAAGACAAACAGACGATTAAATCTATCGTATGATTTTCATGATTTCTAAACGGTACTTGCTGTGAGTATGATTTTAAGACACTAAATACTTGTTTTGTTATATTTAAAATGGCTTCATTTCATAAAGGCAAAAACTAGGAGCTTCGAATATCGCACAAATCCATTCTTACATCACCCAGCTTGTTCCTTCTGGCTTTGTTGACCGTTTTAAGCTGGGTACTAATTCATAACAAAGTTGTAAGCTTCGGCCCGGCTTGGCAGAGAAGATAATGCTTCGTAAATATTTTTTCCTTGTAAGCCCAGTCTTCTTTACGAACAGTTCCTAATGGTGTAGTTAGAAGGTAAGAACTATTCTAGATTCTTTTATTAAAATATTTTACTCATCTCTTCGTTTCAAATTGCATCTGGCAAATTCGTGCCTCCTTACATGCCTATTTACATTTCAGCAAGATTATCCCGCGATAGTTTTTCTCTAATTTTTGTCGTCGATTTGAAGTCTTAAAGCTTCACTTTTCTACCTAAGTTTTTTTTAAAGATCTTTTTGAGTAATAAGAGGTAATTTCAATTCAGAAATGAGGAAAATGGAGGATTCTATTAACACTTTCTATCTATTGCTGCCATTGTTCACTCGATCAGGAAGTTCTTTTTTTTCCTTCTGCGTAGCTGCGATCAATCGTTTGTGAAATACGAGATCGTTTCGCCTCCCAGAAATGAATAACCCTCTCTCATTTTGATAGACTGTAAGCAAAATAGATTTTCCTTTAGTTGTAATTCATATTTATCATAGTCCAATGTTAAAAAGTTATTAATTTCAGCCAAGTCAGTTCAGAGGAAGACCTACGCACGTTAGTGTATTTAATTTAAACCCACGTCCGTGCATTTTGAATATTGATTGTTCTCGTGGAAGTTTAATATCTGATCATTGTTATGTTAAATATATGTGCAGTATTTAACTCATTTAACTCATAAATGATGAATAAAACTCCATAAGAAAGTTGTTTCGTCCTTATTTAAAATCGAAAGTTTAAAACGAGGACATCAATTGAGCATTGAATAGGCTTTTGTCTCTATAAGCTCACTCACAAAAGCTGGTTGTTTTTATTTCCTTAATTGGATCTCTGTGCTTGAAATATAAAAGCTATTCGTAAAAAAAAAAACATGATCATTCATGAATATTGAGAATCTTACACTTTCTTCATCTCATGTAAGAAATAGATTGTATATATAAACTTTTGATTACATATTTCCCTCTAATAACGCAATAGAGAGTACGAGAAAATGTGCATTATGGACCAGTACTATCAAGAGGTCTTGGGAAAAAAGTTCTTTAAGATATATTTTGTTGATATTCAGTCAGCTCATACCTTTTACCAAATGAATATAGTTCCTTGATTTGCACTGGGCCTATTTTATCAATAAAATTGAGATTGTAATGCAAATGTGTATGCAATTGCTCATCAGTTCTTTAATTTCTTTTGAAGTTGATGTTCGTAATGTAAACTTAATAAGCAGAATCCTTAATCTTTTGAGACAGGCAGGTGATCCTCATTTAATTGGTAACTTGTTGCATGTGATTTTCATTTAAAATGGAAGAATCTTTAATGAATATAACACTCTCTACGTTTCATCAGTAAGGCAAGAAGGTTAATAACCTTCTCAGACAATTTCCTCATCCAGGTATCTGCCAACTGACATGTACAGTCAAACCTTGATTGTCTGCTCCTTGATAATCCACACCTGCCTCTTCATTTCCTGTTCTCTTGGCATATGATGACAGTTTATGCACAATTATATGAGAAAGTGCTTGATTTCATGCACAAAATTGATTAAAAGATGCATAAATTATTCTTATTTAAGAATTCAACTTATTAATTCCCAGATATGTCATCAACTTGTACATGTAATTGCTCCCTATGATTCCAATTTGTTTTTAGAGAACAGACAGTGGCTTATCAGACAGAGGATGTCATCATAATAATTATAATACCAAATCCTTCCCTCTCATTTACAGGGAAATATGTAGTGATCAGCAAGAGCATAGAATTGTTAATTGGATCTTAGAAGTTTAAGAGTTAAGGGTCAATGATTTATTGACCAGTGACCATTAAGTTCAGCAAATGCCAGCAAACCTAGAAAATACCAACAACAGTAATAATTATAGAACCATGCTAACTCAAAACTCTGAAGGTAAATGAGAGATGGTTTGAGTCAATGGGATTTGAATTATCTGGATTGATGTTGAATTTCAATAATTGTGTTTATAACATGTTTATAACAATTATTACCATTCTTGCACAATCAATGGTCATTTTTGTAGATTAAGTTTGTTTTTGAAGGTAGAACTTTCGATGGAATGTTTAGTTCAGGAAGTCTAGCTAAAATGTATTGGATTTACGTAGATGTTATGATGTTTGTATCAATGGTGATAAAGGTTGGTACATGTCAAGTAATTATGCTTTGACTCTTTGATGTTTATAGACCAATGTTTTAGTTTAAGTTCACATTATCAATTGAAAGTAAATTTGAGGTCAAGGAAAAGTAGAATTAGTTCAAGTTAGCAGGGAGTTTGAGCTAGCCAAGTTTGAGTCAGAGGGTTTGAACTTTAGTGGTAGGATTTCCTAGTTTCACAAATAATCTTGTTTTTGTTTTGTTTTTTCTGATGCAGTGCATGAACCCTAGAGGATTTTTTAAAATTATTATCATGGCAACAGTGGAAGTGACTACTGGAACATCAGAGATGGAGACATCTACATCTGCTTCTGCGCCCAAAGTAAAAGTTGTGGCCCCATGTAATTCTGATTCTGGAGCATCATCCTCCAGGCTCAATGAGGGACACCAGGTACAGTTGAGACTGTATTAAGTGGTCACCCTGTATGGAGCAGTCAGTGTTCAAAGACATTTTTATCCTATAGTTACAGTAATTTTCACCTCTATTAACTAAGTGCCAAGTCTGTTTGTATCGTTTTCCACCTGTATTGGAAGGTCACTTAAGGTGGAACCACTAAAATAAGACAAAAAATAATCTTTCAGATAAAATTTTTATCCACATTTATCTCCCAGAATCAATGTTGGTCCCCTATAGTATTTATTAGCTATTTTTGTAATTAAATGGTCTTTTATGGCATAAAATTACAATGTTTATCATTTCTTTACTATACTCCTGTCCTGTGGAACCTGTATTATTTAATAAGCAGTCAACCTGTATTAACCTACTAACTCCCAAGATCTCATTTAGTAATTCTCCTAACTGTCTGACAAACAGTTTTTGTGATGTTAGTTTGGAGAATTTGGTATTGGATCAACTTATAATCCCCTGGCTGATATTTTACTTTATTCTCACCACTTGTCTGCTTGATATTGTATTGATATTTTAAGGAGAAATTATATCTTGGTCACTCATGGGAGTTAAAGGGTAAAGCAGTCACCATGCCATTCCCTGTGGGTGACTGTTTAATACAAGTTTGACTGTAGTTATCACTTCACAGTGAGGTCTTGTTATATGTTATATGATTTGCAACTGTGGATAACATTTGATCATTTGGTTTTATGAACTGAACTGATAAATAAATGTAAATTTGCTGCCAGAAAGAGTTTCTAAAGCAGAAGGTGTAAGCTTCCAAGGAGTGGAGGCTTTTCTCAGAGGAAATTAAACCAGGACTGATGCTGGCTCCAATGTTGTTTCCTCTTTTGTGTAGACCAGACCTTTCACCTTTCAATGTTGTACAGAGAATAATAAGCATTAATTTTCTCTCTTTATCATGTGCCTCAGAATTCCCTTGCTGGAAGACAGCAACGACAACAGCGAGTCTACAACATGATGAAAGACCTTCAGCAAAAGCATTTAGCCAATATGATACAAGGCAAAATAACCGATCAGGAAAATTCTGATCTGTCTGAGTCGCAGAGCATCTGCCGTATTTGCCATTCTTCAGGGGAAGAACCCCTCATAACTCCATGCTACTGTTCAGGCTCGGCAAAACATGTGCATGCATCATGTCTGTTGACATGGTTTAAAAAAGAAGTGAAGAATACCTGTGAATTGTGCCGGCATAAAGTGGATATCAAGAAAAAGGGAAAGCCATATGCAGAGGTAATTTTTGATTTTAAGCCCTTTTCTATTTAGGCATATTGTTACCACTGATCTTCATTTTGCCATCCTTAACATTTTTGTTTTCATTGTCAGAATTATCATCATCGTAGTTACTATCGTTGTCATCATCATTATTGCTGTTATCATTGTCTTCATCATCATCACCACCTTTGTTATCTTTGCTATACCCCTCCCCTTTCTCTTCTACTCTTTCCTCCCCTTCCCAATACTCTTTGAACTTTTGTCCTTCTTTTTTCCTATGTGCTTGTTTGGAAATAGAGCAAACAAAGGAGCTTGATAGAATTAGGATTTTCTTTTATTACTGAATAAAATAGGGGAAGCATGACAGTGGGCCACTGACAATATTGAATTTCTTTAAAACCAAACTTAGAGCCATATCCTCATGCTCTTTCTAAACCCAATTTGTTTGGTGCGAGAGTATCCTCATACTCTTTCTAAACCCAATTTGTTTGGCATGAGAGTATCCTAAGACTCTTTCTAAACCCAATTTGTTTGGCATGAGATAAAGAATTCCTTACAACTAATTTCAGATGTGTATGTCTTAACCCTTTGCTTCCTAGAAGTGATTAACATGTAACTTCTCCTTTTCATATCCATGCATTATCCAGCTTTAATGAAAATACCTCTCAGTTTTTATCTTGTTCTAACATCAAATAAATTCTCAAAACTTATGTAGAGAGAAATGTAGCTAGAGGGAAGAATTAGCAATGAGATCCTGGAGAGAAAAGGGATAAAAGCCTCAGAAAACAGTTGTTGCTGATATATGCACTTCTAGTCAAAAGTAATTTAGCAATTTCACTTCTAGTTCCATTATTTCAAGGCTAACTTTGTTTCTCTTCTTTAACCTTAGTGGCGCAGACCAGAAGATAAGCCAACACCAATAATCTGGTTCACTGTATTTGTTGTGGGACTTTTCCTTAATGTCTTCTCCATCTCTGTGAGTGCTTCTGAACTTTGCACCTCAACAGCTTGTGTGATATTCTACGTAGTGAATGGATTTGGGATCATTCTTGATGCTGCTCTTCTTTACTGTTGGTGGACAAAATGTCTGTTTTATTGGCGGAAATGGTGCGCACTTAATCAGGAATGGTCTATTGTGGTCGGTAATGGGCAGACTGCTCCACAGCGATGCAGCCGGGAAGAAAGAAGCAGTGGAAGGACTATACAAATTCCTCATATAGTTTGAACTGCAGTCCTTTTGTGCACAAGTTGCTTTGCTAATAACCAGTTTGCCAACATCTTAGGTTGTTTCAACTCTTCAGTTGATTAGAAGTTGATCAGGTTCTGTCAATGAAATTGTTAAACATTTTGTAATACATTAGCAAAATGACTGATGGGACTTACGCAAAATTCCCTTTGATGTTGGTGCAACAACCTTAGATGTTAGGGAACTGGTTGTTAAAAAAAAAATTGTAGGTGAAACAACCAGTTACCCAATGTAAAACTGCAACTACTTCTTAGAAATGGGTATGAAAGCCCTGTTATTCAAATTAATATAGTTAATTAATATATTGTATTATAGGTATTAAGTTTGAAAGTTGTGAAAATTGTAAGTGACAGATTCACATGTACATGTACACAGTATTGAATATTTGTTAACTTGTAAGAGAAACTTGATTAAAAATAGGGTCAAGCAATTTTCAATTGTGTGTTAACTTAACCTTTAACTCCCAGATCAAATTTGTAATTCTCCTTAATCCTTTAACCCCTAAGAGTGACTAGCATCTAATTTCTCCTTACAATATCACCTCCAAATGACATATTAAGGTCACGAGAAGCTCTGGATAATGAAACAAATTCTCCTCACCAGCACCTTAGGGAATGTACAGAGAACAGTATGGAGAATATGTATATTAGTGTTCAGGGTAAAGGGTTAAAGTCAACCATACAATTCTTATGATGTTAGTGCAGAGAATTTAGGTTTGGATCAACTTTTTATCTCCAAATTTCCATTTTTCTAAATTCTCATTACCTACCTAGTTAATATTAATGTGGTTATCAAAAGAAGAAATTCTGTCTTGGTCACTCATGGGAGTTAAAGGGTTAACTCACATGAGTGATCAAGAAAGAATTTCTCCTTACAATATCAAGCAGATAAGTGATGGAAATAAAAAAATATATCAATTTGGGGATTTTTAGTTTATTCATACCAAATTCTCCAAAGTAAACATGTGTACAGTGAAAAAACTAAAAATGATTGTGTATCATGAATAATTTTGGCCGAAATTTGGAATGACTTGTCAAGCACTTATTCAAGGAAATAAGACTCTTTCATTTAAGTGACAGGATGTGGAATTTTGGTCCACGTTTAAAATAGGGTTGGAATAATTTTGTATTTCAATCTGAGACAGGGTAAAGGTTGAGTTTAAGAAGAATTCTATCTCTACTGAAGAGAAAGTACCAAGGGGAGCTTCAATACAGGATAGGGCCATGTTTCTCAGGTAAATTATTTCTACTTTTGTTTGGTATTGAGAAGGCTTTACTCTGTCAGGTGTCTAACCATATGGTGCTAAATTGACTACAACACAAAGGCATAAATCTCTTTTCATGATTTATTTAACATTAATTTGATAAACTTAGGAGTTCTTGCCCTATCTTATAATAAGGTCTTTTGTCTTTGAATAGCTAAGATTTTCACATATTAACAATTTGGTTTGACTTTCATTGACAGTAAATATGAAACTACTTGAGCCGTGTTGCTTTGATCGAAAACAAAACAAAACAAAACAAAACGAACACTAGAAAAAAAAACTTATCCTAGCAAGCGATTTGTACCGCATTTACTCATTTGATCCGCTCATAATCTCTAAAAGAACTTTAATTAACTCAACAGAATTAAGCTTTGCGTCGTGATTTCCTACGCTTATCTCGTGTTCTCCCAACCTCCCGCGTGTTTACATCAGGCTATTTAAACACGGAAACCATTTTACATTCCTTCATTTGTGAATGAATGATGCTATATAAAAAGGAGACAGTTAGACTGACCACTGTTAAGTAACTTCTGTGCGTTTCGTTTACCTGCTTCTGTGATGGAATTTACTATGAGGTCTAACTTGCGTAGTTGACAGTTGTTGTTGTTGATGATGGCTTCAGCCAAATGCTGTGCTCCAGTGTCTGAGATGTAATTTCCTGCGAGGTATAACGTGCAAAGCTGACAGTTGTTGTTGTTGATGGCTTTAGCCAAGTGCTGTGCTCCAATGTGTGAGATGTTATTTCCTGAGAGGTCTAACGTGCGTAACTGACAGTTGTTGTTGTTGATGGCTTCAGCCAAGTGCTGTGCTCCAATGTCTGAGATGTTATTTCCTGAGAAGTTTAACGTGCGTAGCTGACAGTTGTTGTTGTTGATGGCTTTAGCCAAGCGCTGTGCTCCAATGTGTGAGATGTTATTTGCTGAGAGGTCTAACGTGCGTAGCTGACAGTTGTTGTTGTTGATGGCTTCAGCCAAGTGCTGTGCTCCAATGTCTGAGATGTTATTTCCTGCGAGGTATAACGTGCAAAGCTGACAGTTGTTGTTGTTGATGGCTTTAGCCAAGTGCTGTGCTCCAATGTGTGAGATGTTATTTCCTGAGAGGTCTAACGTGCGTAACTGACAGTTGTTGTTGTTGATGGCTTCAGCCAAGTGCTGTGCTCCAATGTCTGAGATGTTATTTCCTGCGAGGTATAACGTGCAAAGCTGACAGTTGTTGTTGTTGATGGCTTTAGCCAAGTGCTGTGCTCCAATGTGTGAGATGTTATTTGCTGAGAGGTCTAACGTGCGTAGCTGACAGTTGTTGTTGTTGATGGCTTCAGCCAAGTGCTGTGCTCCAATGTCTGAGATGTTATTTCTTGAGAGGTCTGACGTGCGTAGCTGACAGTTGCTGTTGTTGATGGCTTTAGCTAAGCGCTGTGCTCCAATGTCTGAGATGTTATTTTCTGAGAGGTGTAACGTGCGTAGCTGACAGTTGTCGTTGTTGATGGCTTCAGCCAAGTACTGTGCTCCGGTGGCCGTGATGTTATTACCTGACAGGCCTATCGTTTGTAGCTGACAGTTGTTGTTAATGATGGCTTTAGCTAAGAGCTGCGCTCCGATTTCTGAGATGTTATTTCCCCAGAGGTTTAACGTGCGTAGCTGACAGTTGTTGTTGTTAATGGCTTCAGCTAAATACTTTGCTCCTTCGTCGGTCAAGCGATTTCCTGCGAGGTTTAACCAGCTCAGTTGAGATTTACTACATTTTAACAGCTTACAAATCTCAAGACAACCTAATGGACCAAAGCCATGGCTATCCAATTCTAAATGTGAAATTTGTTGGACATTCCTTATTACAGTAACTACTGAAGCACAATCAACAGGTGTGAATCCAAAATATATAAAATTTAGAAAATTAAAGTTAATTTGTTGTAGTTTTCTCTGAACTATTTCCTTCATCTCACTACTTTCATTAACACATTTAAATAATGTCACTGCTAAACGTCTTTTATCTTTAGTCGGCCAACTAGTTACTTTCCTTCCCCTCGTTTCCTCTGTCCACTCTTCGTGGCTTTCTATCACTTCAGTTTCCACAGGAAGAAGGTCTGTGATGATTTCGCTCGGTAGGTTTTCTTTCTCGTTCATTAGTCCCGCTAGAAACTGAAAAACCAGCTGCCATTTGCCGTCCTCGATGTTCATTGAAACAAAGTTCCTTAATTCTGTTTCATTCATGTTTGCCAGGTACCTCGCGGCGAAAAACTCTTGCATTGTTAAATGAATGAAACAGAATTGTTGTTCACGTTTTAACGCGGTAGTTTCACGGTCGAGTAAGCGGTGAAAGAGAGCGCTGCCTTCCATTCCGCGTACTTCGTTTACTCCAAAGACTAGCTTTCCATCTTTAATTCCTTCAAATGCTATTTTTTCCAGTTTCTTGAACTTTTCTTCAACGTCAGGGGGGAAATCGTCCGATTCAAATTCTTCACGAGTGAAATCTTCGTCGCGGAATTCTTCGTTGTGTCTTAAGTAAAAGATTTTCACAGCTTTCTTGTAAATATCAGTTAAATTCCGTCGGTAGGCTGAGATTCTTAGAACCATAGAACTTCACCATTTGAAAGAAAGTTGAGCAAATGATGAAGCAACTCGCGGGAACGTAGCATAGGGAGAGAATGTTCATGTTACCGCCGAACGTGTCGCCATAATGTTTCGCCCGCATACTTGTCCTCCTTCAGCAAATTTGGTTACGTACTCTTCGACTTGTTCGGATGAGAAGCCGAGGATCTCAAAGACTTTGTCGAAAGAAAGACGTTCGATGCATGACAAAGCCGTAGGTCTTGTGGTTGTCAAAACGGCAGCTCCATTGAGAAGTTTCCCAGTCGCAAGCTTCTCGTAAAGACCGTGAAGGGGCATCTTCTCGTCAACGCGGTTTCTGAATTGAGGCTTGAAGTTTTCCTTCCTGATCTTTGAGTTGTGTTTGAATTCATCGATTCCATCGAAAATAAGGAGAACTCTTTGGGGGTTCTCAAGGATGTAATTCCAGACTTTATCATCCATATGATCTGAGGGGGAATGTTCTGACAATGTGAGCAGTTCCCTGAGGCTAAGGTCGGTTGCCGCGTTGAATGCTCTGAATTTGATTAAGAAAGTAGCATCAAAATGGATTTTGGCATCAGGTGTTTTAAGGAATACTTTGTTAAATGCCCAGTCTCTTAAAATTTTGGAACAGCAAAGTGTCTTTCCGATTCCGGGACGACCAACAATCAACACTTTTCTGTCTTCGTTGTTGATAATGTCCTCCAGCCCTCTAGGTGTTATGTTTTTCTCACCCGATCTGGCGTAGACTGCCAGTTTCTCCCATCTGTCTCCAGAAAAGTCATATTCGGCTCTGTCTGGAACAACGACAAGTTTTGTGTAAATCTGATCTAGAGTCAAATGTTTAGCTGGGCGTCCTTCGCCGGGAGTACTTGAAAAAGGCGACCGGAGTTGGGGAGGTTGATTTGTCTCGTCTTTAATAATTTTCTTTGTATTCTCGATGAATTCCTGAAGCGTATTTTGCGAGTTGCCATGGGAGGGTTTCAGGTGAGCTTTTAGAAAGTTTGAATTTTTCATAAAACTATTTTCTTTCCACGCACGTAGAAATAAATAGACGGTTTCCATCAGAATGCCAAATAGAAAAATTCCGTTCACGACAAGGACAGCGCGCATCCAAGAGCTTTTCTTAGCTGCTCGTTGATTATGACACTCGTATGCGGAGTTTTGCATGACGCCAGTAGAATTCCTAGGCTGATTCTCGCCAGAGGTTGGATAACAAGAAAAGCTGGAGGGAAAGTCCAGAGGATAAAGAACCTGAGTTTGTAGGACCATAAAGAGAACTCCCAAAACAATCCTTATGAAAAGTTGACAGCAGTAAGCGATAAACAGCTTTCTTCCAGCCTTCTCGTGGTCGGGCGACTGTCTCTCGAGATCACCGTTACAAGCGCTTAGCGACAGTTGATCGACTGTGGGGCTCGCTATTCGGGAGTAAATAGCACAAACAGTTCCAATGAGGAAAAAGTTCATGATTACGAAGCCATAGGTAGGAAGAGCGTGTCTATTATACTGCTTCTCGTATAACTCGAAACATTTTCCACGGACTAGGTCGATGTTTTCACTCTTCGCCACGCCACAGCGGAAATCATACCTGGATTCGCCGTTTTCTGCGTCTGCAAAAATGCCAAGGAAGATTACACCGATCAGGATCCAAATAACAACTGCGGCATGGCTAACTTTGTTAAATGTTTTTGGTGCAATTAATTCCTTGAGATTATCCATTGTTAGCGTTTGTATTCTCACTGTTTTCGATTAGATGAAAATCGCATTATGTCGCAAGTTGAAATAATGAAAGAGTGGTGGGCTTCTGGTCAGTCATTGCTCCAGATTTTATGGTTTATTTATGGAAAGAACAACAATTTCTATTCTCAGCAAAGTTACGGCTGCCAACGAGAAAATGTTTTGTTTACACATGCCATCTTTTTCTCGAATATTCAGGAAGCTGATATGGGAAACTGAGACAGGAAACTGAAATGGACACATGTGCTGCTAGGTTTAATCAGAACAAATAGACAATTGCAAGTATGGCGAAGACTTTTGCTTTCTAAGGCAAATAGAACGTGGCTTGTAGTAGCTTCACCGCAAAAGAAATAATGACTTATCACTAAACATTTACCTTCACCACCCTCTTCCACCAAGGCCAAAGTGATTTACTGACTAAGAGTGTGACGTCAAAAATGACTTGGCCAGTTTTCAAAATCGTGTGCTTTTTCGACTGACTTGTACGACTTACCAATCGCGATACAAAAGTGGAGACATAGGTGACATTATCGTGCGAAAATGAAACCACGAATTTTCAGCTTCATATGTTGTCTATTGTACTGCTTTTTAGAGATTTGCAGAATGCAAAGTACCTTGTCATTTGTTTTTCTTAAACGAAAAAGGAATAAGAATTAGCGGCACTTCAAGTGGAGAAACGATCTTCGCAGGCTGCAATTGAAGCAGTTGCAGAAAAGTAGCTCACAAAGTTCAGGTTTCGACGGGATTCGGACGCATGCCTCCCAGACACTAGTTGCACGGCCGCTCCAATCAATTGCGACTGACCTAAGAGCCTAAGTAAATCTGCCTCCCTCCCTTCATATGCCTTCGTAGCTCAGGTGACAGACACCAAATTGGCGTTTGGGAGACACACGGGTTTGAATCCTACTCAGGAGCTAGGGAATTTTATCAGGCTTCTTTTCTGCGGTTGCTTTCATTGCAGTTAGCCTCCAAAAATCTTTTCTCAAATTCTACCTTACTGGCACTTAATTTCACGGATACTGCATTTCGCGCGGTTTTATTTTCGTGATTTCAACCGACAAGGCCAGCAATTATGAGAAAAGGCATTAAATCTCGCGCCGATTTAAGCGTTCGGAACTTCATTGCTTTTAATTTTAAATTGTCTTTACTTTTGACGACTGCTCGAAAGATGTCCTAAAGAAAACGAATTTTGAGTCTTTTACATGTTAGATTTTCTATTTTGTTGCTTCTAGGCGTTGTTTTCCTAGCCGCTTTTCATTAATCTACAGAACAACCTCCAAAATTGTACACCCCCTAAATATTTTCAAAATTAATATTCTCCTTTTAAAAAACTGGAAACCGAAAAATGCATCCAACAACAACAAAATATCTCGGTTTTAAATGACAGCCGCTTTTTTCTCAACAAATTTCGCTGAATTTTAAACCTCGTGCGCTTGAGCCCGCGTCATTCACCGTATACCTGTGACGTAGCATGTCGTTATTTAGCTCTGCCTGCTCGACCCCGTTCCGGGCCTCTCGCCGACTCGCATTGCTTAATACCTTGTACCATGACTCTCTTGCGGGCAAAGAAAAACTCGTGCCTAAGCGACGATGGCCTTCTCACAGGCTGCAAAAAATCAACATCTGGAATTCACTTTTCCGCGTATTCAATAAGCCTCGTTTAGTAACATTTTGGTAGCAAAAATATAATAGACCACACACTGCTGCGCTCACTGTCGGTTCAGAAGGTTAATTTGGTTAACTTCAATTGCATACTCTTGGTTGAGATTTTTGATGGACATTTTCCCCTGAGCGGTGTCAACCGAGCTGTGTGCGACGACTCCCTGACCGGTATAAAATGCTCCCTTAGTGTTCCATCTTAAAACTGAACAAAGAAAGTATGTTTCTAAAGAAACTGTCATGTCATACTGTGTCGATGGAGATATTACAACATAATTTTGGTTTCATCAACTGAGCTGATAATGTAAATTGGTCTCTAGAGAAATTTCTACAGGTGACACCTCGAGCTATACGCCTTCGTTAGAGCGTAGGCCCCCTTTTTTTTTTTAACCTGATTGCCTGTGAAATTGTGTTGCATAATCTTTCTGAACTCTGTAAAACTCTGAAACGAGATCTAACATCACGTATGGCGACTTAGCACCCACTTGCTAAATTTCAAAGCAAAAACAAGTTTGTATTGATGCTCAAAATATGAAATATTATAAGCCGAATTGAGCAATCAGAATAACATTAATTAGTCAATTTACAAAATTTTATTTACAGAACGATTGAGCTCCCCAAATTTTTTTTCGATAAGGTGAGTTTCTGTAATGAGACTTTAAAAAAAGTTATCATATAAATGATTTAACTTGCATCTATAGGTTATTTGTCAGAAAAACTCGCTCAGGATATTGTTCAGCAGTATTGTGTAATGCGACAGTATTTTTGCAATTTATAGTTCAAACAAGAGTCGGTAAGTTTGTTTGTAAAGTCTGCGGTTAAAAATTCATTAACCTTAATTACCCGAACAGTCATTCTGTTTTTCATTTACGATCTAAAAATTAGCCATCTTTCCTATATGCTATTAACTAACACGAACCTTTCAAAACTGTTGATCCTAACAGTATGCTGGACACTTGTTACATAGAAACCTACAAATGGCCTCGCAAGGGTCTCTGTGAATCAGAGGAGAGCCGCAGAACGAAGGTCTGAGGTTCGATTTCTCAGGGGGACTTTGAATTTATTTTCTTCACTCCTGTTGTTTTCTTGTGCAATCTGTTTTAGTTCAGACGATGCTTCCTCTCGTTTTCGCGGTTTCTGAATTGAAGCTTGAAATTTTCCTTCCTGATCTTTGAGTTGAGGTTATTTGTCACAAGAACTCGTTCAGGATATTGTTCAGCAGTATTGTGTAATGCGACAGTATTTTGCAATTCATAGTTCAAACAAGAATCAGCAAGTTTGTTTGTAAAGTCTGCGGTTAAAAATACATAAATCTTAATGACCCGAAAAGTATTTCTGTTCTTCATTTGCGATCTCAACTTTAACCATCTTTTCTATATTCTATTTACTCACACGAACCTTTTAAAACTGTTGATCCTAGCAGTATGCAGGACGCACACCGATGAACCTAAAAATGGTTTCGCTTAAGGATCTCTGTGAATCAGAGGAATTTCTCAGGAGGGACTTTGAATATGTTTTCTTCACACTTGTTGTTTTCCTGTTCAATCCGTTTTCCTTCAGACGAGTGGGAGAATTTTGAGTTGAATGAGATTACGTCATAAGGCGAGAGGGGAAAAAAAGCCGTCAAGATTTTTCCTTTCCAGCTTTGCCGCCCGTGCCGCGCACCTATCAAAAAATGCTCGCAGGCTAGTCAGGCTGACAAATTTCTCCAACGTTGGTGTTTCCTAGTAAATTTTCCTCGTTTTAAAAATGGCATGTCGGCTCAAAATTCCTCGACAAGATAAAACTTGATAAGAGGAAACTTACCAAGGACTGAAAAACGTGAATGCAGCGATAGACTGCCACCCCTTAATTAACGAACGCCGTTCAGCAAGTTTTCGTTTGCAAGTGGCCGCCTGCAAACCTCAAAAGAAAAGTGCGCGCGCAGATGAATCATTGACATGGCAATCAAGAGGGAGGGGGAAGGGTTAAGAGGGGGGAGGGGTGTATGAGATCAATTGTTTACTTAGATATGAAACGAGAAAACGTGACGGCGCGTACCAACAAAATCTGGCACGCTCTCGGTTGCAGCTTACCACCAAAGTAGAAATAATCTCAAAACCATCAGAAAATCTTATTTACATTAGCATCTGTAAAGCCTTGTGTAAATCGTGTGTATTACAAAGTCATTCAAATTGGTCAGTTTCTTTAAATTCCAAAGAGGAACAAGCTCTAATTGACTTTATTGTCATGGATTTCGCTTGTAACAGTTGCCAAGAACAAGTTAAATGATTTTAAAGCTGGTTTATATCTCCGAACAATGACAATGGTGCATTCAAGTTTATCCGAGCTAAGTAATTGACAAAACATCGTACATTAAGTAACTGAAAAACCATCAAAGGTCGAACGTTGATAATTCATCATTTGATTCTCAAATTCTAACAACAGCTACAATATCGGTTGTATCTCCAAAAGTGTTGCACAGGCAAGAAGAGCTTTTTGACAAGGTTGAGTACCTATCAGGTGATGATTTCAGTAAATTAATAGCGTTTATTTCATAATTTATTTAGTCTCAAAAGCAAAATATATAAATTCTTATTTTCATTCTTTATTTTTTCATTAAAACTATCTACAGAATCTCACTTAAAACTGGTCTAAGGTGTACATGTGATAGGCTGTGTTTCAAAAACTAAAACAGTCGAGGCTGCATCTCTCGTATTATTCATTTTCCATCAAGACTATGAACTAAATTTAAGTTTAACTGGAGGCGAAAGGTTGTGTTTAAAAAACATATCAATCTGAGATCTCTCGTAGTATACATTGAAAACATCTTATGCATTGTTTGTACAATGTTCAACAGATTGTCACTTCAAACCGCAATCAACAGTTTAAGATGTAAGTTAATCACACTAGCACAGATATGCACTGTTTGTAGCACACATCGTCCCGCAAAAGATACTTTCGGATTGTCTTATTTTGTACGTGCAGCAAACTTCAAAGGGTCCAGAGTTGAGTGTTCAATCCTCAGTGCACGGGGTGGAATGACTATTGAGGTGTTTTGAAGTTGAGTTGGTGGCCGGGATGCCTCAGTTTTAACAGGAGCGCTATTAAACCCAGGCACTGCCATCCTCAGGAAACAAGCTCCTCGTAAGATCTCTGCTTGCTCATGTTTTGGCAAGTCTTTCACGAGCCTAACTGTCTTCTGCCAGCGATTGAACTCTTGGGTTAAGGAAGGCCTCTCTCCTGCTACAGTAGCTCGGCGTTGCCTTCTTTGGATTGGAACAACGGCCTTCCGTCCCTCGTCGGGTGCTGCTTCGCAATCATCTTTCGGGACACTTTCGGATTCCTTTCGCTTGCAACCCTCAAGCACAATATCTTCTAATTTAGGAACAAGGTACTGCGAGACTTTTCGCTTTAGAAGGGCGTTATTGCAACTCTTCAAATTTTCTTTGTCTTCTTTTAGATCCCACGCGTTTAATCTTCTTGGGGCGTTCTCAGATTCTGCGTCCTCCCCCACAAACATCAAGCTATGAATTGGGGCCACAACGTCTGATACACTGCGATGGTACTTTGGCTCAGAATTTTGGGCTGAAGCGATCCTGGGAACATAATTTGGTTGACTGCTAATACTTGGAGCTTTGCTTTCAACTGGAGCATGGTCTTGCTCGGTAGACTTTGGTGTCAGGGGAACGCACTTTTCTGACAAACTTCTACGAGATTTGGGCATGGAAGTTGTGCAATCGGCGCTCGGCTCAACTCTATCCAGAAAATGTGGATTCCTGCCTTGCTTTGGTTTCTCAGCCAACCTTGGTAAGGGGCAAGCACCATTTTGACTGACTTTGGGAGGTGGTCGGCATTGTTCGCCATTTTTCGCATCATAGTACTTTGCGATGTACAAGTGCTGGAGGGCAAAGCTTGACATTTTGGCAGCTGATTCGCGAAGAATCTTCTTTTTCATTTTTTCGATCTCGTCCAGCCTTTTGGATAGCGACTTCTCCTCGCACGGGTTTTTGCTTAAAAGAGCGATAGACAAATAACTCTTCATTCTATCGCCTTGTGTCCGTCTTCAGTTCTGTGTCAGTTGGTGCTGGCTCTGTTCCTCTCGCTGTAACTTCCTCGGTACAGGAGTGGAAAATTTAAACTCATTAGTTAATTAAGTAACATGTAGTTGTTTGAGCAAAGGCTCAGAATTTCAATAAACGGGGTTGTTTATTTACTTTGACCAGGCTTACATTAATTCTTGTTTGCACAACATCTTTTTGCTCCTTCCGAAAATTGTAAACATGCATGCGCTTGAGACCTTGTACAAAGTGTAGAAACATAGGTTTGCCTCTGTATTTCACTTTACCTCTTGTTGTTTCTCATATTACTTTTATAAAGGGTTGTCTTCATTACTTTTTACACGATGATACGGGTATGAAATTACAAAATGATCGGAAATAATTTGAAAATATACCACGTGCCGTTTGAAACGTGACTGCACGAAACTGGTCAAAAAAGAAACGTGCATACATGACATATTGGTTTCCATTTTAATTGCCTCTGGACTTCACTCTGCCTGTGGCTGTTCTCTGCACGGTCCAAGAAAAGTATTTTAATTTTTCCTTTTTAAACGTTGACATGGATATGAAATATAAAACGGATGGCGATTAAACCTCGAACCTAGATTACGTGCCCTTTGGACCCGTGACCTTAAAGTAGACTTTACTGAATTGTGCAAACATAGGTATCCCCTCTGCTTTTCACTCTCGATCCCTGTAACATTTTCAGTAGTTGTTCGTGAATAGAGTTCTAAGTTTTTCTTTTTAAGTACTGGCCTGGGTTCAAAATTGAAAAACGGCCGCGAATAAATGGAAAATTGATCACGTGCCCTTTCGACCCGTGACCTTGGGAGCTGCTTGGGAAGGAAGTGTTCAAACATAGTCCCAGTTCTGTATCTCTGTATCTCGTCCTGCCGGCTACGGTTAACTGTATCGTTTCCGTATAAAGTATAAATTATTTCCTTTTTAAAGCGCTGACTTGAGTATGAAAAAAGAAAAAAGCACTTGGACAAAAATGGAAATTCCGTAGTTAAAATCGCTGGCCATCTAAGGTCATACAACTTAACTTGTTACATAACTGAGTATCTGTTATGTAATTACGTAACTGACATGGTCACGCTTAAGCCAGGAGATCTTTGAAAAAGAAAACTACGCATGTAGATACAGACTGAAATGAAATTCGATTATCACAGCTATTATAACTAACCTAGTCCTAAATGTAATACCTGCTGCGTTTTTGTTTTGAAATTAGAAGCGCTGTTCCCTGTGCACATGACTGCTCACGTGGCCGGTAAAGAAAAAAGGTATCCTCAGCGTACTTGTGGGTGGTGAAGTACCGGCCGTTGTGCATGCTGGGCTTGTTGTGTATGACGCAGTACTCTCTGGCACAACTAAGACTTTTTCACACCACGTCGCTTTATTTTTCTTGTTTCCCTTCAGATGTAACAAACTGTGCTATGAAGAGGTTCTAAACGAACATGGCTGAACGTTTAGAAAATATTCCGTAGTTTTATCGTAAAGGGGTACAATGTCAATGACACTGACTCGTTGGTGACGTAACGCAATAAAACACCACATACTCATTTGCATCACATTACGTACTAAAATATTGACAAAAAACTTAAATGAAATGCAAAGCATAAAGCCAATTTGACAGATTTCAAGTTGTAAATTGCATCATCACCTCTAGATCTTCTGATGGTCCGATGTCGTCCGCGCTCTGAGACCACCTTGAGCAAACCACAACGACGACGGCATTGAGGACGTAGCAAATCAAATGATCTTATAGACAGAACAATAGCCAAGCATGTGTGTTTTTTAATTTTGTGTATTTTAAGCCGTCCCCTGCAAAATAACGGCATGAAATCACCAAACTTTGTGTGGCCTCAGGACGGAAACTTCGACGGCAAATTATTTAAGGTTATACAACTGTTTCGAGAAAGGTTATCGGAAAAAATGACAAAAATGCAATCGGCAATCTCGAATGGTTATCTCGGTATCCGGCGATCAATAAACTTTTATAGGTATAATCAATAATGATTAAAAAATCATGATCAAACCAGCTTTGCCTTCTCCGTTACTGTGACTTTTTCATAGATTTCCCTGAAATCTTGAGGTGAAGGAACCGTGACCTGAAGACTACCCACAATACCTTTCGGGGTAATTGCGTGGCGCGGCTTGTGTAGGAGGACGGTTTTAAGCACGTCTTAGTAAGCCATGGCTTAAAAAAAGACGAAAAACAACTGGAATTAATGAAATCGTAGCTTTTTCGCGGCTTACTTCAGATGCGGCTTACGTTAGATGCGGCTTACGTTAGATGCGAACTTAGACTGCGCAAGCGCAATTTTCTTCCTGCGTTTGCGCAGACTCGGGTGCAGGCCGTAAATCCGAGGGGGAAAAAACGAGATTCTGTAACTTACCATATGGACCGTCATGTTATCTCTGGGTTCGAAAAAAGGGAGAATATTTCAATTCAAACAAACTATTATAACCTGTCTTAGAGTGAAATTCAGTACGCTAAATTGACCTATCATAACGTACATACAAACTGGGAGATACAATAACATCATGAGGTGTATTTCCGTCGCTTAATTACATAATAGTTGCAGAGTTATATAACAAATGACATGAACTTTGATGGTCAGCGACTTGCACGGAATTTTCCCCTTTGTTACAGTACGTTGATTTATTTCATATTCATATTTAATCTTTATACATCAATTATACAGTTGAAAATAACTGGCAGAGTGAAACGCAGAGGCACTAGGAACGTAGACCCAGTTTTGCACAATTCCTTTAAAAGTATTTCCCAGGTCACTGGTCGAAAGGGCGCGTGATCTAATTTTCTATTTCTTCGCTGCTGTTTTTCAATTTCGTACCCCTGTCATTGCACAAAAGAAAAACTTAAAACTCTGTAAATAAATTATACCCGAAAAAGTCACAGGGAGAGTGAAAAACAGTGGCAATTAAAACGGAAAACTATGTTTGTACACCTCGGGTCCAAAGGGTACGAAATCTCGTTTCGTTTCTTCGCTTACACGTTTTTCTTTTTTATTCCCATGTCAGTTTTTAAGAAAAGAAAAATTAATAACCCCCTTCATAAATGATATGGTGAACAGAAACAGGCAAAGTGAAAATCAGAGGCAATTACAACGGAGAGCTATATTTGCACACTTCACTAAAAGCAACATTTAGTGTCACGGTTCAAATGGCACGGAATACAGTTTCGATATTTCTTCTCCTGCGTTTTTCTGTTTTAAACCCACGTCAGCATTGCTCAAAAAAAAGGAAAGATAACATCCCTATTACACTCATTTACGATATTGAGAAGAGCAACAGGCAGAGAGAAATTCAAAGGCAATTAAAATGGAAACCATTGTTTGCACAATCCCTCAGGATCACTTTCAGGGTCACAGGTTCAAATGGCACGTAATCTATAGCTATTTTTGCAGCGTTTCTTTAAATTTCATTGCAGGCTGCCTTGCGAGAAATGAATTTGAAATATAATACGTGGATGATAAATAACATGCTAGACATTTTCGTATGTAGTATTGCGGAATGCAGTAACCAGGTTTTTGTATCTTTTATGAATCCGCTTTACGTCAAGCTGTGAAAAGGTAATTCAATTAACTTATTTTAGAGGCCATCATAATTTATTGCCTGGGGGGAGGGGTCTAGGATCTTGGGGAGATCACGTGGTTTTCAAGGGAATGGAGGGGGGAGATAAGCCTTCGCCAAAAATAGGTCTTAAAGGAACTTACGGAAAGAAATGCGAGTTTGTTGTTAATAAGGGTGACCACGATAACTTTTGGTATTTATCCTAGATTCAAGTAGTCTCGCACTGACATCTACCTTGGCAAAGCAATTGTAAAGTTACAGTTACACGATAGGATCTGGGTACGAGAAAAAGATTTACCAAACGATCTAAAAATAGCTTTTCCGCGCTGTAACAGAAAAACTCCTGAGCGATGTCACCTTCAATATACACTTCATAATATCTAAATATTTAACTTTCTCTCGCGAGTAGTCGTTATTAAGCCTTCACGGTCACTGTATGGATTTCCATAGATGCAGCCGTCAATAAATCTTTTTTCTAACTCATGGGAGCTCTCTAATTAGGTGCGTTTCAACATCGTCTGATTAACGCTGTTAATCAAGCTTTGAAAAGGTAAATTCACATAGCTCATCCGGTACTCAAAGATGAAAAAGAAACTAGAAATGACTTAAGTTGTAACTGAATTTAAGTATCTAAAGCTAGTTACGCAGAATGAAACGCGATTTTTTTTATGAAGGCAAAGTACGCAAATAGTATTAGTAAAATACTCGGTATTTCTGAGGAAGAGCAAAAAAGTTATCGCAGTTTTTCTTCTTGAAGGTTTCAGAATCCTCGAGCGTGTCGATCTTGTGAATTTGCGAGTTTTCCCATTGCTTCAAATAAATACAACCATGGCTGCCCCAAAGAAAGTAATCAATTGAGCTATTTCTGGGGTTTATTGACCGAAACAAGCAGCTTTTTTTAGGAGTCAATGATTCCGAGATACAAATTTACACGCGCGTGTCTATTTAAGCTAGCCACCAGCTTTCCCATTTAATCAGCGGGCAGCATAATAATTTGCATATCCTGAACTAGTCGGTTGTGATTGGTCAGCAGGTAAAGCTTTGGGAATACATGAGTCTCTTTGCAGATTTCAGCTGCTGTCAATCAAACGGTTGGATGTGTAAAGTAAATCCCAAGTTGCCAACAGTTACGCATCTGAATTCATAAAATTTGTCTGTAAATAACACTTTTATTAAATAAACGGTTATACTGAATTTTGCGAACATTGCTAGACGTATTTAAGTAAGTAAGTAACTTCATTTCTGAGTCAAACATAAAGACCAGCCAAAGGAAAAATCCTAATAGGGGACATGTAAGAGAATAATGGTATCTTTAAAGTTCGATTAGTTCAACAATCGCACTCGCAAAAAAAGTAGGTTCCATGAACCTCCAACCAAGGATTGAGGT